AATAAGTTACAACAGAAATTATCTATCCATAACAACCTAAACAAACTTTATCAATATCTGTTAACTCTTATCTCCAATAATATATATGCACGATTTAGACATTATACATTTATATTCATATATTTGAATCTCCTCTTTCAATTATACTTGAAAAAAATAATAAATTTTGTGATTTTTAATCTATTATTTCAGATAATAAAAGTACTAAAATGTAGATGATAATCATGATTGTAAATTACAATATCTATCTCAAACAACTTAAGTTCAACTTAGATATACTAGTCATAATATATATATTGCAGGCGGTTTAGTACAAAGCTCTATTTTTTCTCTAGCATTCCTATATCCTTTAGGGTACGAGACTAATCTCATTTAAAATTTATAATTATCTTTTCCATTGGTATTTTTTCATGAATCGAATATCTAACTTTTATATTATGTTTTAATTAAATTGATAATCAGAGACCCATTAAAAAGCACGAAAGATAAAATCTTTTAAAAAATAGATTCCTATTAGAAGAGTGCGTAACTGCATGGATAAGCTCGTATTAACCTGTCAATTTGGGATCCAATCCGGGTTTAACAAAGTCAATAGGTAAACAACAATTTGTGTTAACTTGGGTTGCGTTAACTTCACATTGAAAATAAGAGTTGATCCAGTAAGTTTCTTATAAATGGGCAATACTGTGCTCTATGGGCTGATCCAGCAACGTTGGGCTTCCGTAAACTTTAAGGGAAACGTTTGATCCAATTCTGTTTTGTCTGTTAGGTTACTGTAAACCTACAAAACGGCACCATTTAACAAAGCAAAAAAAATCTACAACCTCACTGGGTTTCTCTCTCGTAGCCTTCTCATTCTTGGCATCAAGGTAAAACAAAAATGGGCCATTTGATTACTTGTGCGCAAGTCACGGAGATTGTTGACAAAAAAAAAAAAGGTGATTTTGTTCAAATTTAATATCAAACCCAATTTGAGGTAGCAAATTGAGCATTTAAAAAAATAAATCAAAATCCAGCTAAACCCAGTAAAGTAGGACCCAGTTTCTCTGACGTGTCGACCTACTATTGGGCCATATAAAAAAACAAAGCTGAAAAAAAAGCAAAAAGATTAATACCAAACAAACAAGAAAGAAATATACTAGTACTTTGCTACAAGGAAACTTCTGGGCCACAAGATGTGAGTCTATTCAATAAAAAAGAAAGCTATAGGCATAGCCTTAGAAAAAATGAAGAGTGTGGGCCATTGGAAAGATATGAGATTGGTGACTCATAATACATTGAAAGCTGCTTTCATTGCTCACCATCTTTCAAGATTGTGGCTGTCACTAAATCAAATTCATATTACAAAACTCACTTCACTAAAGTTCTTGACATCACTATAGTTTAATAACCAAATGCTTATTTTATGATTTTGTTTAATTTTTGATTTTTTTTCTGAAAAATTTATATAAAAAATAAATTTTGACTAATTAAAAAAAATCCAAAGTTAGAATTAATTGAATTTTTATTAGCTTCTGAATAAGTTGCATGCTTCATAGACAAATTACACCTTAGTTCATATTAAATCAATTTATGTATTTAGCATTTAAACGGATAAGGTAAGATTTGATGTTGGATAAGATGATTTTGTTATTTAAATTATAACCAATTACTAATTAATAAAATAATGCCATATCCATCCACTGTAAGAAGAGCACTTTGTTCATCCCATAATGATCCGCAATAATGGAGCTTTGGACTATAACTTCCAACGCTTTGACATCACTAATTTAAATTATTTATTTTTTTACTTAATATTTTCCACGTCATCTTACTTTCCTTTATTTTTTTAAAAATAATTTTAGACTTCCCAATAGACCTACCTAAATAAATAAAGAGAAGACAAGGAAATTAAATTTAAGTGTAATGATAATATAAGATAAAAAAAAAAAATTGAATTGTAGGTTTTTATTGAAATTAATTCCAAAAAATTAAGATAAAAAATTTTCCAAGAAAAAGAACTCTTTATTAAAATTGAATCAAAGTTTGGAGAATAGATTCAAATTGTTCTTCGCATTTTCATTTTATAATAAAAATTATGTTTTTCATCTGTTTTCACTTCTTCTATTAAAAAGAATGACTTTTCATAATATATTATTTTTTGACACTTAAATGATTTTAATTAAAAATTTATTTTTTTAATTTTTTTATAATATAATACGTAATTACTTCTTTTATTATCAGAATTATTTTTAAAAAAATGATAACATTTATTTATTTAAAAAATTACGAAAATTTTTAAGAATTTGATAATATTATTATAAAGAAATGAATCATACATATTAAAAAATCTAAAAAAAAAAGTTATTTTTTTACAATGTTTTATTTTTTATTATGAAATTTGTGAATAATTTTCTCAATTAAGAATAATTAAAGAAAAATAAAATTATTTCTTTACTTATATCAAAACACAAAGCTGAAAATAACTACCATAAACAAAAAATAACTACTTATTATTTTTCTTTACTATTTTCTTTAGCTTAATTCTATTTTTAATTCTTAATTTTTTAATGATTAACATTAAAATATAAACACAAATTTAAGAATAATACTTAATTTTAATAGATAAATAGCTAGACTTGTAATAAAAATAATAATCATCTAGTTATTTTTATTAATATTAAATAAATTTTAAAAAACAGATCTGTAGTTAGAAGTGATTAGATACTAACTACTAAAAAATATGTAACAATTATCTAATTTTTTATTAATATATATAAAATTTGAAAAATAAATAAAATCAATTAAATTTAGATAAATGAAAGAATAATTTTTGTTTTAATGGATAGATATATATATTTTTTTTCAAAATCATAATTATCTAGTTAATTAATAATTTTGTATATATCTATTAAATAACTAGTTATTTAATAATAATTATCTAGTATCGTTTTTTTCATTTTTTCATATTTTAAATTACAAAATTTCTATTATTATAAATATTTTTAAATTATAAATACTTTTTCTCATATTTGACAAGCAAATTTAAAATTTGTAAAAATAATACTTAAATGCACTACTAACAATTAAAAAAAAAAAAAAAAAAATAATACTTAACTGACTACTAACAATAAAAAAAAAAAAAACCAAACAAGCTTAAATGCAAAAAACAAAAAAAAAAAAAAAACCAAAAGCTTAAATGCAAAATCCTTATTTTGTCGTCTATTTATTTTTCGAGAATATACGGAAAAAAAATTGATGAGTTCGAAGAAAATTGAATTGATAAGTTACATAGATACTGATTTTTTTTGTGACGTGCATTCATGTTGACTATATTCATTTAATTTTTTATTTATATAATATTAAAACATAAGTTTTTATTTAGATTAAAATAAATATAATGATCAATTTACATTACACTTCACCTTAAACACTAGTAATTCGATTTTATATATACTTAATCCTATTTAACACTAGTAATGTTATTTTATATATACTAAATCATATTTTTATATAGTGAAATTGTCTTAAGATAAAGTTCAATCCAATGCTAAACCTATTTTCAGCTGCTAATTTATAACAAGACGTGTGATATATCCTCAGATGGATCACAGAAAGCACACAAATTATAAACATGATCGAACACCCATCCGCACCAAGTTTGAGGGAGTTGGGATAATATCCTTGCCAACTCTCCAAACAAAAATTTTCACCTTCGGTGGGATAGCCATCCTCCATAATTATTTCCATAAAACTTGCTCTGTATATAGGACAAACTTCGTGTTCATAATGAAATCAATTTGATATATTGATTTAACAGAATATACACCATTAATTTTTCACCCAATGCCATAGAAGTTTATCCTCAACACTTCTCAAACTCAAGGGAACACGAAGAACAAGATCAGCATCCTAAGGCAAGAGAAGACCACGAATAAACTACTCATTCCGGCAACGACGATCTTAGAGAATTAAATCAGAAACTTTCAAATCCTCAAAACCAGCAAGAATGAGAGATTCTAACTTGAAATTAGGACTGTCACTAACCCACGGCTCAGACCAAATACCAATACTAGTACCGGTTCCAACTCTCTATCTCAGCCTTGCATTTAGTATGCCTTGAGAGCAAAAAAGACTTCTCCATGTATAACTTGGACTTCGCCCCAACTGGGCATTATGGAATTCCCTATTAATATCCGGCTTTAAGAATTCTAGATAGAAGATGATCATGGTTAGCTGTGATTTCCCAACCTTGTTTTCCAAGCAATACCGAATTAAAACTGTGGATACGCTGGGAACCCATTCCGCCATCAACCTTACTCGTGCACATACGCTCCCATGCAGGCCAATGAATGTTACGACGCTAATCTCTCTTAGAACCCAACCAAAAGGCATTCATCATTTTCTCAATTTCTAGGCGTATTGAAAGTGGCAAAGGATGAGAAAAAATTTTAGAATTTGATAGCTTAATTATCTAAAAATAAATTTCAAAAAAATGAAATATATTTATTTTAAGTTTGAAAGGCCTAACTATTGATACATATTTATTTAAATAGTTAATCTTAAAAACTATATCTAATCAAGTAGCAAAAACGTAAATAAAAAAATTATTTCAAAGACCTAATAATCAATATATATTTATTTAAATAATTAATTTAAAAAAATACATCCAATCAAGTAGCAGAAAACAAAAGAAATTATAAAATTTTATTAAAAAATAGGATACTGAATAAATAAAGCCTCTCAAATTTTCTTTTTTTTGTTATATATATATATATATAGAGAGAGAGAGAGAGAGAGAGAGAGAGAGAGTATTTGAAATTATTGGTATAAAACCAAAAAAAACAGAATTGGAAATTTGCAGTATATATTTTTATTATTAAGGGCTTGAAAGCATAAAAGCAACGAAACGTGTCTAAGGCAAACAAGCGAGTAGTAAAATAAAAGAGACGCAACAGCGACTTTAGGGAGAGAGAGAGCCAAGACGGAAACAATTTCTTTTCCTGTTTCCGTCTGTAAGACTCGAAACGACCTTTATTTGTCTTCTTTCCTTTTTCTTCCTCTTCTTCTCTCCCTCGCCGTTTACTAAATTTATCCTTCCTTGAGCCTCCATTTCTATCTCTGTCTCTGTCTCCGTGTCTTTCCCTCTCTCTTTTCTTCACAGTCTCAGTATCTGATTTTGCTTTTTCAGGCGGTCTTAAACTGATCATAAACATTCTGGTTTTCAAAGGAAATTGTGATGGCGTTGACGAGATGGAAGGAGAAACTATGACAAGCGCATAAAACGAAATCAGTTGTTTATTTATTAAAGAGAAATAACGAAGAGAGCAATAGAAATGAGAACGTTGTGTGATGTATGCGAAAGCGCCGCCGCGATTCTTTTCTGCGCTGCCGACGAGGCCGCTCTCTGTCGCTCCTGTGACGAGAAAGTATATTTTCTTTTTTCACTAATTTTCTGTGCTAATTCTAATTCTATTTTAAATCTCTTCTTTTGGAACTTAGAGTTATTGTATGTTATGTTGTTTTAAGTAATTTTGAATCTGTTTTTTTTTTTTTTTTGTTCTCTTTCTTAAGCCATCAATTTGTTTGGTTTCTTAAGCTGAATTCTACTTTCATTAGAATCTGATAATCCTAAGCATGTTATCGTAGGAATATAGTCTATTGCGCTTATAGTGTTTTGAGCGTTGAATTCAACTATTCCAGTCTTTTGTTGTGTATTGGCTTTGGTAAACTGTGATTAGATAGATTGAACTTTTCATTAAATTGAAGCAGATGGGAGTTTATTATCTTGCACCATTTCAAAGTTGCCTTTTTTTCTTAGGTAATTTGGTCTTTTACCCATTTTTGATGCAATTAAGGGAATAACTTTGTGGTTAATTCTTGAAATTTCCATTGAGAGTCCTTTAAGTTCCAAATGTCAGAGCGGCTCTGGGTTGATGTGACTCACTAATGAAGCAAAGAATTACGCATGTAACATTCCAAGCGTTGAAGCCAGTTATTATAGACACAGTATCACTCGAATACCTCTGCTAATTATAGTTGGCTTGACTTTCTTGCCAAAAGAAAACGTTTTGGGGATTCAACATGCCTTAACTTGATTCTATCTGTGTGCTCTCAATGTTTCGACAGCGAGGTTGGTCATTTTAATTGTAAGACAACAGATTTTGCGCCAGACATTGTGGAGAACGCCTTCATGTAGATTTCTTATGCAAGAACTCACCATAAGGGCCCTCAACTTATTGGCCTATGCAGCACTTTTTTTGAAACATGATATAATTGAGCATTTGATTGATTTGTTTTAAAGCTCATATTTCTCTAGATATAGAAACAGTGATAAGAATGTATATTGGTGTGTAGTGTCTTATTTGGGCTGTATTTAAAATTTATCATTAATTAATTATGGAATATGAACTATCTGTTTTCTTAAAGAAAGTATGTTGGTCTTGCTCGTATGTTACTAAATTTTCTTCCATGTCTTCTAGTAGGAAAAAATCTGCATGATGTTTTTTTTTCCATCGGAGTTGCAGGTCCATTTATGTAACAAGCTTGCTAGTCGACATGTACGTGTTGGGTTGGCTGATCCTAGCGATGTGCCCCGTTGTGACATATGTGAAAATGCACCTGGTATAGGTTTTTAAAATTTAATAGTTTCGCTTTTTGCAAGGATATGCATTTTTGAACTTCTGTACGAGAGATTGAGGTTTTTGCTTCCTTGCAACATGCATGTAGCTTTCTTTTACTGTGAGATAGATGGTAGTTCCCTCTGTCTGCAATGCGATATGATTGTGCATGTTGGTGGTAAAAGAACGCATGGGAGATATCTCTTATTTAGGCAGAGAGTTGAGGTTTTTGTCTCTGGACTTTCAACTTGTTTTTCATTTTCGTCAGAGAAGGTTCCCAAAATTAATATGCTTCCATTGATTGTTTAATTTAGTTTCCAGGGGACAAACCAGGCCATTTGGATGAACTAGGACAGCAACAGCTTGATCAAAATGACACAAGGAGGGACCAAAATCAGCCGCCTATACTCACACTGAGAGAAAATAAACAAAATCACGGAGCATCTTCTATAACAATGATGGAGAACAACATAGATGGTGATGGCAAGATTGATAATAAATTAATTGATCTTAATGCCAGACCTCAGCGGGTACATGGGCAAAATTCCACTAACCAGGTATGAGCTTTTCCATTGACCATCATGACATCAATGTTTATATTTTGCTACTCCATGCCTCCTTATTCACATGCTTGCTAAAAACTGTAATACTTATACTTACTAGCCTTGCAATTAGCAAAATTAAACACCTGTATTTGTTTCATGGACCAGGCTATAGATGTTATGAGTGGTAATAATCATGAATCTGCAAGTGTGGTTCCTGTTGGATCCTTCAAAAGAGAGCCTGAAAAATAAGTGAGGTATAATCTACATACTTCACAATTCATGAAGTCAGTCTGGTTCACATGTACCGTTTCTCCATTTATTATCACGTTAATGTAAACATCAATGTCATGGGAAAGCATCCAGTTAGCTTTGACATAGCATTCCTCAAACTAATTGTTGGAGAAGTCCTCTTATTTGAAACTTAAAAGCTCTACTTCTTGTAAGATGCTAAAGAAGAGAATTGAGTATATCATCATTCTTAATTAAATAGAGGATTAAAGAACTTTATGGTTTATAAATGCAGATGGTCTTTTCTACATTCTATTTTTGTAAGGCGATTAGATGTGTCGCACCGTTTGATCTAAGCTGTCAATTTCCAGAATTTTCATTTTTAAGTTTTCCTAGCTTGCATTCGAATTGCTGGATACCTTTTTAAGAATATTCAATCCTATAACATAAGTAAAGTTGGAGTACCTCAAATGAAGATGATTTGACTAGAGAGGCTTCTTCTTGCATGATGAACCAATTTAATAATCAGATGAAAGCAATGGTTCATGAAGTAAAGGTAATTGTTTACTCCAGAATTGATAGTTTTGCAGGTTGGCTCCTTATTGTTGCGATCATTACATTTGGCAGCATAATATAGAAAATTTGAATCTTTAGAAAGTAACCTCATGGATGATAAACAGATGTCTCATTTTGCTGATAAGTAGTCCCTACTCCCAATCTGTTCTGACAACTCTATACTATTGTGTTTGACTTCAGAATAATGCTTTTAGCCTTGTACTTGAAAAGGAAAATAATTATTGTTGCATATCTGTGATGCATATATGGTTCAGATGTGAAGTTTGAATCTGCAGCAGCTGGTTATGACGTCTGATTACACCAACTCATTTGTGGACCTTTTCTGGATGTTTCACTAATCCATATTTTCGGATGTTGGATTAGGTAAAATATACATTATTTATTATTTATGTTGATAGGTTCCAAGACATTGATTTGATTATGACTTTCGGGTTGGTCGTCTATGATTGATAACCTGTTGCTGAATAGGATTCTGGACAGTTGTTTGTTTGATGGACATAATATGAAAACATGGTCTTCACATCTTCTATAATTGATAATTTTTGCTGATTGGATTTGGGACCATCATTGGATGAAGCAGAACTAAAACCTAGTGTTTTCATGTTTTCTTTTATTCACGTGCATTCTCGTCATTCAGGGTAGATCTTTGGACTGGGTCTACATAAATATAAGCTATTCCAATTGCATATGCTTGAGATAACCTCTACCACTAGATTTCATCTTTTAGTGAGTGGTGCTATTTAAGAGTTGAGGACTCATTTGTTTGTCAATATATGAAGCTTCTAGATAAAGAGAACACTAGTTATTTGTTTGCCTAGATGCATTGTTACTGCCTTTACATGGCTTTATCAACAAAATGAAGAAATGTTTAGCCATTGATAGGTCCTGCTCGAAGTGTATTTTAGGAGTCTCTCGCTGCTTGCATATTAATCTCTGGCTGGTAATTTGGTTCTAGTTGAAAAGCAACTAATTGTGTGTACGAAATTATGGAAGAGTCTTTATTTATCTGGGAATAATGCGGACCATTCTCTTGCTGTTTAATTTGTGGTTGCAGATATTTTTGGATGCGTGGTGACAAAATTGAGTATCGCAACCTGTTTTATACTGTCGGTTCCATTTTTTCTGTGGGTATGCTTTCATCATCCCTTATGCAAAGTAAATAGAATGTATATCTAAAGCAAACACATGTTGTGTCTTAAGAAATAGCATAGCCGTTAAGCATTTGGTTCATTTATTGCCTGCACGAACCACTGTTTGCTAGTCCTTTGTGTTTATATTCAATACTAAAGAGTACTTGGTGGTATGTATCTGAATTAACTAAGAGTACTTGTATTAAAGTTGGCCTCCCATTGACTCTGAAGTAAAGCTTTTGTCTGTCTCTTAATTGCTGAGAACTGCCGGGGGAAATTGGTGGGCATTACCTACAATCAGATATGGGCTGGGTTTTCTATTATATAGTTATGGGTCTATTCGGTAAAATTAGCTGTTTTGGTAGTTATTAACTATTTTAGTAGCGTGTAGCTGTTAGAAGTTTGAGTAGTTTTTTATAAAATGTTAAAAGTTATATAATACATGAGTTAATTTTTTATGAAAACGCTACTTTAACTCTAAAAGTCATATCAAACGTTATATTAATAAATACTATAAAAAAAAATAGCGTTTAGTATTTTGATTAAAAGCTATTTAAAAGATTATTATCCAATAAGGGAACACATAGGGGCTGCATTAGGGGGACCGATGACATGTAGGGGTGAGCAAACAATGTTAATTGAAAAAAAAAAAAAAAAAAAAGTGATTAGGGGGACGATGAACATGTAGGGGTGAGCAAACAATGTTAATTGAAAAAAAAAAAAAAAAAAAATGCGAACTGAAGTTTTTGAACAATCAGTTAATCAAAAAAAAAAAAAAAAAAAAATGCGAACTGAAGTTTTTGAACAATCAGTTAATCGAAACTAAAAAAATGCAAGCTGAAGCTTTTGAACACTCAGATCAAACTGAACTGAAATTGTCATTTGAACCGAATTAAATTGATTCCGTTCAATTTAATTTTTAGTTCAATTGATAAATTTCTATGAAATTGATTTGAATCAAACAATAAATTTAGTTTAAATCAAATAAATCAACGAACCAAGTCTTGGTAAATAGCTGATTGAGCTAAATCCAAATGTGTCGCTTTGGCCTTCGGTTCTGTCGGTTGTTTTGTATAACATGGTAGATCCAGTTCTATTTAATTTTTTTTTTAAAAAAAGTTACAAGTTATTCTTTTTAAAACTAAAAATCAATGGAGCAGGTCACTAGATGGGGTAAGGGGTGTGCAAAGGAGGTTTGCTTTGTCGAGTTTGGTTTGAACTGAAATTGCTATTTGATTCGAGTTGGTTTCATAGAAATTAATCAGTTGGATAAAAATTGAATCAACATGGCAAAACTAAAACAGCTAATTGAATGGTTTGGTTCAGATGCTAATTTTTATTTATTGCCCTTAATTTGATTTGATTTAAATTGAACCGATCATTTACTCATCTCTAGGGTAAGTCATTAGATGGGTCGGGCACACCCGTCCTTTAAATGGAGTGGGTAAATTTGCCCCGTTCTTTGGAGTAGGTTCAAAACCCTGTGGTTCAACCGTAATTAATCTTGAGTTGCTTAGTCTTTTAATTGAATGAACCTGTTATTTCATAGGTTACGGTTCAACTAGTTTGATTGATATGTTAATTTGGTTTTGATAACCATATAGCAAAGAATTAGAAGAATTAAAATAAAACTACAGGGAAGAAAATTAATTTTTTATACAAATATATAAAATGTCATGTTTGATAAAAAAAAAAAAAATCATATCTTGATTCATTTTTTAAGATAGAGCAAATTATATGATATACAATGGGACTCAAAAATTACAAAATAAAAAGCAAATTATGAAAAAAAAATTAGGGGTATAGAAACTCACTGTTGATTTTGCTAGAGGATCAGTTTCTTTCCAGAATATTTGAGAGAGAATTCTCAAGCAAGCAAACCAGCGGGGTTGTTTTTCCAAAGAACTAAAATACGACATCGTTTTGAAGCAATCTGCAGTGCAGAAACGGCAAGCCCTATGCTCTGCAAAGATCGATAAAACAACGACCCCATTCCCTTTTGGAATTTCCTTCTGTCCCATAATGTCTCCTTAGATTTAGGAAAAAAAATGGAGATGAGGCCTGCCCATGAAAGATATAAAATAAGGGAAATTATTATTTAGTTTCTTAGTGATACTTCAATACATTAATTAGGATTTCTATTTCAAAATTTAATTATATAGATTTTCAATTTTATTTCTGTTGTACTATTTAATCCTTTTATAAATTCACATTTACTCGTAAGGATTAAATAGTGAAATAGCAACAAAATCGATGGATTACATAATTAAATTTTAAAAATTAGGTATTTTGATTAATGTGTCAAAATAACGCGATGGACTTTATAACATAAACAATCTTTCCATTGACCTATCCACTAAATTGATAAAAATTCAGGTGATTAAGAAGACTCTCACTTTTTATATTACTGAAAAGATAAATCAAACCACTCGTGTTTGGCTATTCGTTTGAGCACTTTCATATGCCATCAAATTAGTACGTGCATTTCTCAAGAACCACAATGGCATCTACTTTCCTTGCATATTATTATTTAGGATAAGTTCCTTACCCACTTAATGACTGTGTCATTGCCCTTATCCAAAAAATTGTTTTAGTGATCACTTTAGTTGCTTCATAAAATCCTTTTTGGCTAACCTTATGTCAGCAGTTGTTGCAGCTTTGAGAGGTTTGGATGTAATTGTAACTTTTTGATATATATTTTAATTAGACCCCCTTTTTTTATGCAGATAGGAACACATCTTGAAAGGGAGAAAATACCAAAACAAGATTTAAATTCTTAATATTCCATGAAATATTAATATGAGTTGATCATAAATCTATAATAACAATAATAATAAACAACTACTATAGCCATCTTAATGGTTTTAGTATAATGGTGCATCATATTAAGTACACACTAACTAATCTCATTAGCAAGAGGATTATTAAGTGGCTAAAAGTACATGTAACAAAAGAACAAAAATAGTCTCCATGGCTATAAAAAGCATTTAACACACAATTAAGTGACAAATTAATTAATTTTGCATTTTAATTACTTCCCTCCTTTTCCTCCATGCATCTTCTTCAACCTTTTGAAGCTTAGTACACATAGCCCTTAACGAACAATTCTTTCTTGGCCTCTTCTGATTCTCCTTCGCCGGTGTACTTGCCAAGCTGAGCAAGGGAGTTGGCCTTGGCTCGGATAAGCAGAGCTTCCTGAGCTGCCTTCACATTCTCTGGTCTGCCTCCCCATGTCTTCAGGCAGGTGTTCTGCAGAGCTCTAGCATATGAGAAGGACACATGCCATGGGTTTGGACCTTGGTTCATGGCGTTCAGGTTCAGGGTTGCTTCAACCTCAGATTGCCCGCCAGACAAAAACTGTTCCACCAAAATTATTCACAGTTTCCGAGTTAATACACAGTATAGGATGTTTAGAAACTAATATTCTTGAAAAGAAATTAGCACATGGCATTGTGTTAGATGCCTTGTCGCATCAGAAAAAGTATCTTCTGCTGATATACATCTAAAACTATATTGTCAGTGCTTCATATTCAGGAGTGTGAAAAGAAATAGAAAGGAACTTGCCATGATTCCGGGGACGGCTGGTGGGATTCTCCTCTTAAGGAGTTTGAGGGTGTAGTCAGAAACTTGTTGAGGAGTGGCCCTGTCTTTGCATTCAGCTCCTGGAGTGACCATACTTGGCTTCAGGAGAATACCCTCAAACAACACATTGTTCTCTGCCAAGTAGAAAAAAACCTCAGCCCACACCTTCTGTGCAACTTCAAATGTTCTTTCAATGCCATGTTCACCATCGAGCAAGATTTCTGGCTCCACAATTGGGACCAATCCATTGTCCTACAGGACGCAACCAACCAAATTTTTCTCAATTTGAAATTAATTATTCGTGATAGGAATTATCTATGTACATAAAAAGAAGTAACAATGCAAGCACCGTCTATACATGTATATACCTGAGAAATAGCAGCATAGCGCGCAAGACCCCAAGCTGCTTCCTTCACTGCCAAAGCAGATGGCCCATTGGGAATGCTCACAACAGTACGCCTGATAAATGAAAGACACTAAAACTATGAGTTTAAGCCGTTTTAATAGCAAAAACTTCAAACAGATAACAATAGTTTCAAACTGCTATATTTAAAAGGTGTGTTTCTGAAAATCAGTGTTTAAAGAGTCTAATAGTTATTTTTATACCATTTGGCGAAACGAGCACCCTGTTGGTAGTAAGCAGCAGTGCGAGAGGCAAGACCATCAAGACCTTGGCACCATGATTCATTGTTGGAGCCAGATAGAGGCACCAAACCCTGTTGTTCTCATTCGTTGTTCAAGTTAAGATGTTAATACAAAATCCTTTTTAACAAGCTAATGGGTCTAAATAAAACACTTTAACTTCTACCTCAAAATTTAAGTACATAGTAAAATCTACTTCAAAACCAAAATCATGCAATACATTATTATATATATAATATGTACCTTGTCGACTTTGATACCAGGGACAATGTTTTGCTCAACAAGAATATCAACTATCTTTTTGCCATCAACGGTGGATTGGTAGAGAGTCTCCTCAAAGAGGATAGCACCAGAAATGTATTGGCCAAGGCCAGGAGCTGTAACAAGAAGTGTACGGTATGCTTGGCGGTTAGCCTCAGTGTTCTCTAGCCCTATTGATGCAAGTCTTTTTCCACAGGTAGCATTGGACTCATCCATTGCCAGAATACCACGTCCAGGTGATGCAACTGTTTTCTGCAGCCCCAACAAACAATAGCAACATATAATCATTAAAGAAAAAGAAGCTAGCCAAATTACAATCCTGCAGTACTAGGCAGAAACTCAACTAGTAAGCTAACTATTGTCTAATGACCAGCTAGTTTCTTCTGAATTTGCTATAAGCTAAAGCTTTAAGTTAAAGGATGGTGAAAAAAGTTTTTTAAGGTGTCAAAAAAACCATACCGCAGTCTTGACAAGCTCATCAGCATAGGAGCTGGCACGAATGGTGAGGGCAGAGGAGGCGGCGGAGTGGCACCGGACAATTGATGCAGAAGGCTGGCGGAGAGACTGACCTTTCACAAACTCAGACTTGTCAAGGACTGGAGAAGACTTGAGGAGTGAAGCTGAGGCCATTTTTTTTTTCTGTTTTGCTGCTTTGGTTGAGAGGCTAACCGCTAATGAGTATAGAAGCCTTACAAACAGTGTATAATCTTATCTCCTCTCTAAGTTAGTGCCTCTTTACCACATATATGCAAATGTATTGAGTGTATTTATATTTGGCTTTTGTGTTATCATAAGATGTCACATTTGAGGCTGTCGTGAGTCGACGAATAAGGGCTTGCCATGTGGATGATAGCATGACAGACTAAGGCATGGTGTACATGGATGGTTTTATTCTCACCGTAAATAAATTGAAATTAAAGCTCAGATTTTTATAAAAGAATAGACAAATGCATCATATTCACAATGTACTGAGTCCAAATAAGTCTAGTTTTGAGTGATTCCTCTGGAAAGAAAGTGTGAGGCTCCAATCTCTCCCTTATTTGTTTTCTTGCTTTACTTGATCAACGGCTATGGTTTAGTTGCAACAGTCAGCTTGCCAGATCAGCTATCCATATGAGTGGCCTAAGCAATATCAATGCCACCCGGAGTTTAGTGGGTCCACGTATCATTTGGCGGGTCCATCTCACGTATCCCCCACCAAATCAAGGTCACCTAACCCCATTTCTTGATTCGTTGTTTTGCAATCAGCTGTGGAAGCACTTTTGATTCTTGACAGAGAACTAAAATTTCTATATGGGTGTTAATAAAATATGAGCTAAAATGCAGAAAAATTGTTGTAATAATGTACATATTGCTGTAAAATCTATAAATAACTTAAAATTCAGTGCAACATCTAATGCCTCATTCAACTATGTCAATATAGCAAGACTAGTAGATACATTAATGTGAAGATTATACTGAGAATAGCATTTTTCTAGTTAGAATGTTAACTCAATGACATTTCTGCAAGGCCAGCAATTAAATCATCAACTGATTCTTCTATCAAATCCTTTGATGCCCCTGAATCATCAGTTGTAGATGGCATCAATTGAACGTTACTTTCTGAAAGGGCCTTGTTTAACTGTTTAACAAGCTCATCTTCCTCCTCCGGTGGAATACCCAAATCCCAGACCCTAAAGATATCCCGTGTTGATGGCTCCATCTGATAAGCAGAATATCCAACATCAAGTTCTGAATCAATGGATTCCATCTCTCTGTGGTTGTCCTCCGTGTAATTTGGCAGAAAAGCATTTTCCAAAGGAGAAGTTTGTGATGATGAAATGCTAGTCTCTTCCTTGATTAGAAAATCATCATTGCTTGTCTCTGTTTCTTTATTAATTAGAACAAAATCAAAGTCAGTTTTTCCAGAGGCATTAAGAGTTCTCGATTCAGCAGAATGAAGCATCTCAATGTTGTTACCAGGCGTAGAGTAATAGTGCAAACCGAGGATTTTTGTCAAGGCATCCTTCATTGAACTCCAATCATCATCCAATGGCTCCATCTGATAAGCAGAGTAACTAATATCAAGTCCTGAACCAATGGATTCCATTTCTCTGTGGTTGTCCTCCCTGTAATTCGGCAGAAAAGCATTTCCCAAAGAAGTTGTTGGTAATAATGAAATACCAGTCTCCTCCTCCATTAGAAAATTATCATCTTTTGGTTCTGTTTCTTTATTGATTAGGACAGAATTAACATCACTTCTTCCAGAGGTATTAACAGTTACTGGTTCAGCAGAATGAAGCATCTCAATGTCGGTTTCAGGTGTAGAGTAATAGTCATTTGATTTGGATTGCAAACCAAGGATTTCTGTCAAGGCATCTTTCATTGAACTCCAATCACCATCTAAAACTTCTGGATCTTTAACCAGGCAAGAATCAACCCAACATATTTCTTCAGGTGAAAGAGCATCTCCAGTTTGGTTAGACTTTAAAGACTCAACAAGGATAGAAGAAACAGAGCCCTCAAGTATATCATCACTAGAAGCCATAATTAAAGATATATAGAAAACAATGTCTGCAGCAACAAAAACAGATGGCCTTATGTACAGTTGATCAAACCTGAAAAGTATAATAGTTCAGTCAAAGGCCTGAGACAAGCAAAAAACTTGAGCACTTTGCTGAAAGAATGCAAATTATATTCATGTTTTAACTAATGAATCCTATTAGGAGACATTGTCTGTCACAATTATTTGATCAATATATACAGTTCCAGAGCGATTCATAAGAATTTTCAATTTCAGGACCATGAGATGTCATTTAAAAAAATGTTGAAAACTACCTCTTTTTGTCTTGGTTTTCTTTAATGCTGGTATGTTGTAGGTTTACAATGACATGGACACGGTATGAAGAAATAGTGAGAAATGATTTAGTGGCCCTATACCTTTCTAAAAGTTAGCCTTGAACACGAACCCAACTATTTTGTGGTTGAATTTCAGTTGCATTAAGCATATTTGTATGCCTTATTTCACAAAAGAAACAACTTTTGAACAAGAACATAAAACATGCATTAATAAGGAAAAAAAATTAAAAAAATCTAAAATCTAGAAGAATCTTCAGTAGTCAAAACAATGAGAGAAAAGATGAGAAGAATGAAGCCGTGGCACCCATGCCAAAACGCACAATCAACAATTCTATGAAATATTGAAATAGCTGAAGACCACCGCAAAGCAGCAACATAGAAAACGCATTGCAATTTTTCAATTCAAAAATATTGCTCTATAAGGTTTTCTTGCACCTTACACTTCTTCAAAATTTACATAGTTGCTAATTATCCAAACTAATCAATGAATAGATAATTAAGTAACATAAAACCAAGATAAAGCCAAATTCATATGTGATCCTATGACAAATTCATGAGGCACCCTAAAAAGATCATAAGATTCCCTAATTAAAACAAAAAAAGAGTTTTTTTTTTTTTTCTTTTCCTTTTCCAAAAATCAACCCAAACAACCACACCAAATGGAATAAAATTTGGAAATCAGACGCAAAAAACCTGAACCGTATTGAATTGATACTACACGTGCATAATATTAAGAAAAGAAAACCATTGAATTGCAGAGAGAAATCTTCGAATTGCAAAAGTGTTTTACTTTCCTTTCATTTTCTAATTTCATCCATGGCTTCTATTCCACTTAAACATAATACAGGTAATATAGTAAATATTCCCACATACAGATATAAAAAATTGGAAGAAGAAGAAGAGAAATCTCCATAATTGTTACACAAGAAGAAGAGAGAAACATACCGTACTGGAACCGCAAAAACCTAATCTATCATCAGCTGGAAAAGGCTCTGTCTATCTCACTTCCACCGAGACTTTGAGTTGGAGAGAGAGGGGGACGGAGATTGCTAGAAACCTAGAACTAGAAAAGGCTTGAAACGCTGGCGTTTCATTCATGCCTGTATTGGCGGTTTAAGTTTCAGAAATTAAAAACAATTCGGAAAAATATTCCTCCGCCAGAATCGAACCGGTTTGGTCTGGTAAGGATGTTCATGGTTCAATTTAATTTAGCTTGGACGATTCATATAAACTAAACTAATAATGACAATTTAACAAAACTTTAAACTCAACCAAATCATAAAGAGCACTCAAACAACATAGCTGAAAAACCTTAATGCTTTTGAAAGAAAACTCTCAAGGTCATGGCCGTTCTCGTGGAGAGAATGATCAGTTGAACCGTAGTATGAGAATCTCAGTCCTAAGCTCTAGATTTGAATTCATTTTTGCTTTGAACTTTGAGTGGAGTTAGTATCAGAAAGACAAATGTATTTTTGAGCTCAGTCCATAAGTTATTAGCAACTCTATGATGAGTTTTTTATCGGGGATCCAACAAATTTAATTGTTCCTTTTGTGAATGCACGACAAATCGTTTTATAGTTCAAATTTTCGCATGATTCTCTTTAGTATTGAACCAAGCTATGAATTGCCTTACAGTTTCATTTTCTTCTATTAAGGATTTGCTTGACTCATCAAACTCTTTTATTTTTAGGATTTGCAAGTCTTCCCCAGTTGATGCTAACTCCTTTTGCAATAATCTGATTGTTTGCATGAGCTGTTTAGATTTTGTTTTAGTTTCAAAATTATTTTCTGATTCTTGAAGTTGCTCAACATATGTGATCAGATATTCTTCTTCTATTGTTTCATTAACAAAAGAAAGTTTTTTATTCTGGTTCTTCTTTCTTTTTGGAATTTTGTGATTCTGAGCGTTTCTATTTTCGACCATTGTTGAATTTGATAATCTCTTTACAAAAAAGTATTCTCTAAATAGAAAGCTTAATTCATCAATAGCTCAACATGAGAAATTTTCACCGAGTCAATTATTCATAACTAGTAAAGTATAAATTTGTGGGTAGTGGCATGCGTAGTAGATAAAGATGACAACTGGAAGCACTTGAGTATCGTGAAGTGGGTACATGCAGACATTATGATGCTTAAGTTAGAGAATGGCTATGAAAGGCTTATTAGTTAATTGGTAAATCTTTAAGGTAGGATATGAAGTCCTTTATATAAGGATTTGGAGAACTTCTTTTGGGTTATTAATTAAAAATTCTGGTAGTTACTCCATATCAATTGTGGAGTAGAGCAATTCTATCTAATGCGAGGCTGCCAGTTCATGGTAGTTCAAGATGACGAGTTCAACTTTATATTCTATTTAGTTCATCGTAGTTCAAGATGACGAGTTCAGCTTTATATTGAGCTGAAACATTATTGCAGGTTACACAACAGGGATAGCTCCATTGGTTCATTAAATTGGTGAAAACAACTATAATTAAGAAGACTCGAATTCGAGATCTTTTACTTCTCACATGAGTGAAAAGACCAACCAGACTACCACCTAATTGAAACCGTGAATATTCTTTTATAGTACTATTTGGCAACAGTAAATATTCTTTCATGGTTCTTTTTTTGGTTCCCCTTTCTCGTATATATATAAAAAAAATGAATGGATAAACATTTGAGTTCCTAAACTTGCCAATTGCTTAGCAAGAATTTCACTTCAAATCCACCATCAAATTCAAAGGCTAAAGAAAAAAAAAAGGATAATAAAGAAAAAAAAAAGATAAAGAATCTACAAAATGAGTAATGACCCTCAAAAATGTAGTTGGATTAACATATTTTAAATCTGGTCAAATTATTATTTCTCGACATGACATGAAACAAAGAGCACCAATATGTATTTTAATTGTAATAAGTTTTACTGACTTAGATGTTCAATCAACCATGATCAATGAGATAAAGTACATTGACAGAGATTTTCGCAAGTGTACGAAATCGCAACAAGTAATATAGAGTGAGAAAGTATCGTATCCATAGGGATTGTATATCAAGTACCAAAATTTGACAAATGGTAAAAGTACATTGACAGAGATTTTCGCAAGTGTACGAAAATCGCAACAAGTAATATAGAGTGAGAAAAAGTTATGCGTAATCCATAGGGATTGTATATCAAGTACGCAAAATTTATGTTAACCTATTATTAATTTAAACGACTAATATGAGAGATTTTTGTTTATAAGGAAAGTAAATTTCGAAATAAAACAGAAAGGGATCAAAGCAACAAGTTTAGGTGAAAAGAAATCAGGATTTAAACTACTAGGGAATTTATTTCACTTAATTCTATCCAATTTATTTCATAGTCTGCTTAATCGATTTTAATTGTTCAAAGTAGGAAAGAAACAAACCCTAAAGTCACTAACAAGCTCTCCCCTATATATTGTTAGACTATTCTAATCTAAGTCCTATTAACCTATCTTAGCCCAAATTGAAGGCATATCACGAGCGCATAATTACACACTTGTGTATATTCAAGTGAGGGGTTGGTGATCTTTTGTGAGATCAAATATATCCTAGGGAATACTTAAACTATATGAAGAACTACCTCTCCTTTGCAGTCAAACCCATAATAGCTTTCCGCATCAAGTTATCAATTCACTCAATGTAAATTCATTACCTTTTTCATAATCAAAAAACTCTTTCTCAGATAGGATTAATGAAATAATTCAATCCAGGGGAGAAACTCTGCCTGGAAGCTTTAAGTTCAATAACAAATTATAACAAGAACAATGAAAAACAGATCTAATATTTTTAAATTGGAATCGAATTAAGTTACATCAAATCTCTAGTATAAAAGTTTAGTTAGACATAGTAATTAAATAAAACTCAGTAATACATGAATAAATCTTCATAATCAGTGATGAACAATAAAGAGAAAAACAAGATTAAGAGTTTAGAGATAAAAACTAGGTAACAACTATGTGGAATGGCTTCCTTGAATCTTGGCACAAATCTTGGATGCTTAAGACCTTTGAGAGAGAGAGAACTATGTAGAAAACTACTCAATTTCGAAGAGAACTAATGTAGAAAACTACTTCAAATTTCGAGATGTCTTTATTCATGAACGAAGTTCTCCCTCTTTATATACGAACCTCCTGAAGGCAATCTGATCCGTTTATGGAAATAGAATCCTTATTAAGATACTAAAATCTTCTTAGGAGATTAATGACTGTTTAAAAGAAGCAATTCGGATTTCTCTTAGTTTAGGACTCCCTCCTCCCCCCTTTTTTTTTGTTTTCTCTTTCAAAACTAGGTCTAGAATCTTGTTTAGCTACGTTTATGCGAAACTATCCGAGGCGGGCCAATGTGAAGAAAAGGATTGATTTGCATTTTAGTTCAAACGTCCGTTCTGCCTTTGAAGCACGGGCATGCCCAACTATCCGAGGCGGGCCCATGTGAGAAAAGGATTGATTTGCATTTTTAGTTCACGTCCGTTCTGCCTTTGAAGCACGGGCATGCCATTAAGCACGGCTTGGGCGTGCTCGAGTCTGAAACTCTAGATGGTTGAGCACGGGTCGTGCTATGCAACATGCTCAGATGAGTCTTTGTGGCGCAGGTAAGGCGTGCGCCTTGGCACGGGTAAGGCGTGCACCTTGGCACGGGTAAGGCGTGCTTGTCTCTGTCCTTCCAAGATAGATTTCGTCATGGGCGTGCTAGGCAAGCACGCCTTGAATTTCTTTTGAGCACGGGCGTGCTATTTAGCACGAGCTAGTCGTGCTCGCTCCTGACTCTCCACTTGATTTTCCTTAGTATTTAGCACGGGAGTGCCTTTTAGCATGGGCTGGGCGTGCTTGAGACCGAGTATTTTGCTTTGTAATGCTCCGTTCTGTGTCAAAACCCTGCAAATTTCTTTCAGATCAAGTGGGTTACGATTCAAAGAAGCTTTGAACAAAAGTATAATTAAAATGAATTAAAAACAAATCAAAGTGATAAAATTTACTAAAATTCTAATTAAAAACTATACTAAAAATATTATAAAACTGACACCTATCATACATTCAACAAGCCTATAAACAAAAGATTTGAAATTCCATGAAGGATTCGATTATTGGATTAATTTTAACTATTCAACATCAACTTAGCCAAAATTTTAGAAAAATCTCATTTTCAAACCTAACTTCACAAATCTCACCAATCACCACAAGAAACTATAAATCAAAGGAGGGGATGGGGTATAGAAGAAGAAAGTGGTGTTTTGAGACCTACCTAACCGATAGCCTTTGCCGGAATTTAATGATTGTCGCTACAACAACAGTGAATCAATAAAGCTTACACTTTGCAGATTTCTCAACATCGAGAAGGAAGACGAAAGCATCTCATTGGCAATTAACGGTTGAAGGAGGCTTCTTTAGTCTGAGATCGATTAGAGGTGATTGAAAATGGGAAGCAGATAATGGTAGGTGATACGATTGAGAGAGAGTTGGGTTATCTTTATCAAAACCTGGCGCTGATGAAGGAGAGGAGGTCGAGATGATGGTCTCATACCCACATTGAGTTATCCAATGCTAGAGGTGGTTGAACAGTGACCGAAAACGGAAAAATGGCTTGTTTGGTGATGGAAACAAAGTTTTGATGGGCAGCGAGTATTTTAAAAGAGAAGAGAGAGTAATATGAGAAAGAAGTTTATAATAGTTAAATTTTGTATTTTTATTTCAAATTAACAGAAAAGTTGTGTTTTTTTTATGGAATGCCCAAGTAGTACGTACGAGGGAGACAAATCTCATGGAAATTTTAAATATTTTTTAAAAAAATTGGACTACTTAGAAAATAACGGTAAATCTCAACGAACAAATAATTATTTTCTTTTTTTTTAAATAACCCTTAATTCGGCTCTTGGGTTGAACAGTGGGCCCATTTTAAATTTTATGATCCCAAAATATTTGGGCCCTTATCTGATATTTCTCAGCGCAAGGAGGGGCCCAAATCAATGAAGTCCTTGCACTGCACAAATCTAAATTATATGGACAGAAGAAATTAATTGCAATTTACATGGTCTTTTCTCCAAAATTTTTACATGGCTGCATTTTTATTAATAGTATCGGGTAGAAAATTAATTTAGTAAAATTAAACTCTTAAATAATAAAATAAATATATAGTCAATATTTTTCAATCATCCAAATAATTGTTAATTGTGGTCAAATTTTAGATTACATATTAATTGATGTATGCAATAATAATATTATGTAAGTATATTTTTTATATGTCCCATATCTACATGTATTTAATTATTACTAGTAATTAGTTTATTATTTGTAACAACTATGAAAAATTTTCCTTATAAGTAATTTTTATACTTTATAAGTGAAATATAAGCACATATATATGATCAACAATTTAAGATAATGCCATTTATGTAGATTTAATTTAGCATTTTTTTTTTTTTTTTTGAAAAAAAAATAAAAAAACTAAAAGCCCCACATATATTTATGACCAACAAATTTAAGATAATGCCATTAATGTAGAATTTTAATTTAGCATTTTTTTTTTTTTTTTTTTTTTTTTTTTGAAAGGAGCATATGCAATTATTTCTATCATCATAATAATCTGTAATATTATTTTCTTGATTATTAGTCAAATATATATTAAGAGGAATATGAATTTCATGCACCTTAAAAGCTATTTTCAGATTAGTGTTTTGAGAATCAAATCGATTATTGAACTGGTAAAGGTGAGGAGTTTACTGAATCGGAGAATTCAATCAGATTTAATATGATTCAACTGAATTTTTATATATAATATTTTTAAATACAATTGAAAATATAAGATTTGACATTAAATAACTGTTTAAGAAAATAAAAATGACTAAATTTAATATTGAACAAAAAATAATAATTAACTACCACAAAAATTGACAACAAATTGTAATTGGATATATAAAAGAGATTTTCAATTTTTATTATTATGTGTCACTCAGGATGATTATTAAACTTATTTTTTTATTTTCCTATTTTCTATAAAATATTTGATATTTTTCATGCACAAATTAAAAGAGTGAAAATAACGATAGATTGCTATTAAAATAAAATTAAAGCTTAAATAAAATATGAAATAACTTGATAGAATATTAAGAATTTCTCCAGATTTTCAATTAAAGGTTTCACTATCAAACAGCTATGAATTCCGCGGGATTTGCTATGGTATATTTGGACTAACGGTGTCGTTTTGTTTTGTTGGAAGTATTGCAAAAAGTAGAACACCTTTCACATACAATGACATGAACCAACCATTTAAACGGCAATAATGGAAATGGCAAGATTAATGTCGAAGGCAGATCGAACCACCGTGCCGGAGGCCATGAAACCAGTTAATGGGGTAGCTGGTTGGTATAGATCAATTAGTTTGGTGTCCAACCGGAATAAGTTAGTAGGTGTAACTGTCAATCCTTCTAATCTGTTTCTTTTGTTATGCTCTTTTGGCCGTTCTTTTTGGTTCATTTTAGGAGACATCCAATTGTCCTTTCTAAATTATATATGTCATGATTCACGTTTTAATTAACCTAGATTAACGTAAATATACTGATTTTCGTGAGAGTGAATTTTAATCTACTTGTATAAAATTAATTTATCTCCATTCATTTCGTATATTTATTTTAATTAAGATTTACCATTCATTTCGTTATCTTTTTAATTATTTTATTATTACTTAATGTAATAAATATTTTATTATTATTTAATGTGAAATTATGTCCAAAAGTGAGGTTTTTAACTCATTTAATATAAAGCCTATCATTGCATAAATTTACAGTGCCCTGTTCTGCTGAAGTTGGATGTGAATTTCAAGTCTTTAAAACGCATCACATGTCTTCCAATTGATTGAAAGCTAATTAATTTAATCTGAAACGCAAGAAAAATGTGAGGCTACACGAACTTTGAATGAAATTGAAATTTTTCATTTCCTTCATCAAATTTGAAGCTATGTTGAGATTTTACATCTCAAAGTTAGCTCCTTATACACACTTTTCAAAAAACTCACAATAAGGTTTTGTGATTCAACTTCTCAAATTCAACGCCTATAACAAGCCTCTACCCTCTTCACTTTCCCAAAGATGAGAGACATTCTTTTTTTCCCCCTATACTTTGTAATGCCAATAAATATTGGCTTATATACAAAAATAGCATGTGTATTTTTTTTCAACTAAAATTAGGGTTTGCTGCAAAATAAGCGAGCACACCAACAAATGGTGCATTAATATATGTAGTCGGCTCAGACTTCTTATAATCAGCTCGATCATCCGCATATGAATCATCATTGCTAGGACCGCCCACAATTGCTCCGACGTGTATATTGGGGTTAGGGTTTGTTGAATTAAAATAAATCGAACCCTCTTTGCAAGCGATAAATTCAGGATGATCCTTAACCGATGGTAATGATGAACCACGATGATGAATGTGTTGAGGATAATTATTACTATAACCAACCATATAAGATAATCCCAATGGATTGTCTCCTAAAATGTAATCAACTTGCCTCTTAGCCTGTTGACGAAGGGAAGATGGACTGACATTGACATTGCCACAATTGACAGATTGAGATGTTCTTTCTAAGTAGTTTGCATAAACAAGCAGTAGAAATGAAATTGTCGTAGAATGTTGCAAGTTGCTGCCTCCTGGCTTGTAAATGAGGCCCCCGGGAGTGTACTGAATGTGAGAGGAGGATGATTCAGGTATAAGGGTGCACATGAAGCTATCTGCTGATGCTTTGTATGATTCTAACGAGTACATGTTTCCTTCCAGTACTTCCTACACAATAATAAAATCAACTTTAACATTATACTTTTGTACATTTAAATCACTTCATTAATTAATTAGCATGTTGGAATTACACTACTAACCTTGGACACAAGAACATTTAGACCAGCATGCTTGTTGTCCCAACCAAATTCATTAATATTTTCATCAGCACCAAGTGTTTTGCCATTGTTTTGTATGTAACTAAGGTAAGTATCATCGTAAGATGCCCTCCTAAGCCAAGCTGCTCCCCACAGCAATTCATCCTGGGAAAAAAACAACCAAAACATATTATTATAATATCAAATGAGTACACTAATCAATGAGATTAATGTATATATTTTAATGAAATCCTTATCCAAATTAATTAAAATAATACGATTAGTACAGACAGTGTACATGTGACAAAACTTAGAATAATGCAATGACTAAAATAGATAGATAAACTAGGTTAGTGATTAAGAGACGTAAGCTCACTTGATAGCCATCAAAATCACAGTAGAAAGGGCAGGCCCCATCTCTAATGTCAGAGTTGTCACTATAAGCTCCTCTGTAATTATCAGCAAATTGAAATGCTTTAACAGCATTTCTTAACAATGTATCGGCATATCCAGGGTCCGATGACCGGAAGGCCATGGATGAAGCCGCCAAAGCTGCTGCAGTCTCACCGGCAACATCTGACGCTGGATTAGGTGCATCCACAGCATAGACGGTTCTAGGAGTGTCCATATCTTCTGGTCTCTCCCAACAAATATGGTCAGCATTTGGATCCCCTACCTATAATTAATATAAAAAAAAAATTGAACCCCCAATTCATATTATAATTATGGCAATAAAATCATATATCAAATTAGACATTAAACTACTGATTCTACTTGTTTATGTGTTGATGTCTTGACTTTAATAAACAAAACCAATTAGCTGTGATGACAGGAAACAGATCAAACTAGGTAATAAATGCATTTCAGGAAGAAAAATATTAGACACTCGCTCTTCAAACGAGTGTGGCTAACATTCCTTTCTGCTATAATTTCCATTTTATAAAAATCTAAAATGAAACATAAAAAAGCAAGATGATGAGGACAGTTTTTGTAGACCCATACAATTCTCGGACTTTCATGGTGAAAAGCGGTCCAGTTGTGTCACCAACGAAGAAGTATGGGTCCTCTCTATTGCATCATCAAGCCTTGGATGTCCCAACTTAATAATATAATGTACCTCTATGTACCTTACATCTGCCATGTGGCATGGATGGTGGCTATAATTAACTACAATTCTGTTTAGTATGGTGGCAAAGTCCTCCTCACGCGAAATAGGTGATGCAGATTCATCTATGCTATAGCATAAGCGATTAAAATTTTAATTTTAATTTTAAATGTCACTCTTTAGTAATATTATTTTTAGAAGTTTGATATTGAGATGAAAATGTAAGACCATCACTCAATTATTTAATTAATCATTTACTAAAAAGAGTTATCCACTTCTAATATGAGGGTCAAGAAATATATTTTATAAAGTAGTAGTTAGATTTCAGGTAATTAAACTAACCTTGATTAACTGCAAATCCAAATCATGGATTTAGATCCTTGAAGTCATAAATTTTTAGCTAAGCCCTTGAATCAAAAGACTTGTAATGTGTGTTCTAGTTAGTATTAATAAAAGATTTTGAGTTCGAATATTCTCGTAAAAAGAATTTTTATCAATTTAGTAAATCAAATCATGTTATTTTGATCAATTAAATTTCCTAATAAATAAAAAAAAAACTTATAAAATATTAATTATATAATAATTAATATGTAATTTCATTGGTCTTTTAACTTCTTGTTCGACTAATACTTTAAAATCTCTCTACCTCAAAAATTGTACTACTTCTATGCAGCCCGATGTTATTCTAGTTTAACGGGCCTCACAGAAAAACAAAATTAATTGTGGGGTCTCTTTAAAAGGAAAGGGTAAAATGGTCAATACACGACAAACCTTAGCCCACCAAAGCCCACGTACCTCTATACAGTTCCTTATTAGTTAAACCACGACAAAACTACTCCCTAAAATCCAACTACCCAAAAATCCAACTACCCAAATTACCCCAGAATACCCCACAGATTACAAAACCACCACTACACTACAATACACTACAGTCTCCCACAGTCAAATAAAAAGAGTACGCCATGAGTGAGTTACTTTACCTGAACAAAAATCCGATTAGGCTGAGAAACCGTCTTGAGCAAATAATCTGTAGCCCAACGAATAGCGACCAAAGAATTTCTAAGTTCATTAGGAGGCATCAAATTTCCGAATTCAATAACGCTCCAAGCCAACATTGTTGTAGTGAATGCCATCGGAAATCCGAATTTGATATTATCACCGGCGTCATAGTATCCGCCGGTAAGGTCCGTATTGTAAGTCCAGCCGTCGCTAAGGCCCGAATTGGCCCGCCAAGTAATGCGTTGGTCCTGCGGTAAATAACCAGACCTTTGGCCTTCAAAGAAAAGAATAGATTTAGATAATGCTTGAGAATAGTCATGGTAGCTCGATTGAAACAATGGCAATTCGGAAATTAAGAGAGTTAAGAGAAGGAGATGAAGAAGAAGAGAAGAGGGGTTCATGATGGAGTGTTGTAAGTAGTTGTTGGCGTTAAGCGCTAAATATAAGGAGGGCGGGTCACGAGAGAAAAGAGAAAGAGAATAAGGTGCGTGTAAGTACCGACACACTGAATGGGAAGTGTGTCAGTTTATAGTTTCATACACTAGTTCTTCACATGCATAACCAAATGTGAGTGTCGAGTAATCTTTCACATAAAAATGTAAGAGAAGAAGAAAATTTTTTTTTTCTTTAATGGTATAATTAATAAAAAAGAAGAATATAAAAACAATAGTATTAACCTACAACTAATATCATCTATATTCCAACTAATAAACTAATTATAAAATGATTTAATTTAAACAAGAGTATTTCTAGAGAAAAAAAATAAAATAGTAATATTTTTTAAAAATATATATATTTTTTAATTGATTTGGTGTATGAAATTATCCATACAATAAATATTTGCAAGAAAAAAATATAAAAATAATGATATTTTACTATTTTGTAGTGTGAAGCTGGTACTATACTATTTATTTGGACAACCATGAATTACCATTTGGATTAAAGGGGAAAGAAAATGAAGTCATAGTTTATTCTATATTATTTTCCCTACCGAATTAGAATCCCTTGTTAACCAATCAGACCAACTAAAATTGAACTTTTTTAAAAGATATTTTCACTTTATCCTTTTTATTTTTTTAATAACTAGTCAAAAATATTTTTATTTTTATTAATATATTTTATAATTATGGATAAAATTATAAATCGGGGGTAGATAAATAAATCTCAGTGCGTAAAGAGTAAAGTAAACAGTGATGGCTTTTATGTAATTTGATAGGGTAGAATATGGATTCGAAGTATTTTGAAAAGATAAAAAGACAAAAGAATAGGAGGTGTTGTTTGTATTACCAGATTCTTATCACCTTTGCTAGTGGACAGGGGCGGTGCTCGTGCTCACTATTTATTTTCCCTTTGTTATTTCAACAACAAAACTATATATTTATATATATTTATTTATTCCAAAAGTAAATTTTATCTAGCTAAGAGAATAAAGAATAAATAAATGCACAAAACTTATTTAATTAAATTTACGGTGATTTTATTAAACAAAATTTATTTATTTAATAAAACAAATAAACATTATGGTGATTTTTCCCCTAGAAAGTAAAATAGAACAAAACTTCCACAATAAAATTCTAATTCTTAATTAAAATTGGATAAAACAACACAATTAGAATTAATAATATATACTTGATTTAATATTAATAAAGTATAATTTAATTTTATATCACATTCAGTATTATAGATCTATAACACGTATAATATCAATATCCATCATTTAAATTGTATTTGATTTATTGTCTTGTTTATATTTATCAGAATATATTATAAAATTATTTACATTGTCCAAAGCTTATACATAATATTTATTTAGTAAATTTTTAATTAAAATAATTTTCTTACTATATAATCAACTTCTTAAATTAAAATTTATAATTACAACCTTTTATAATTAATATTTATTTTATTTATTAGCCAAATAGAAAAATCAATATAACTAATTAAATTAAATTACCTTTATTTTTGCAACCAAAAGTCGTAAAAATATTTTTGTCAATCTGTAAATTTAATAAAGTGTTTCTATCATTTCCAATATTCTCCTTTCCCATTCTAACTTCATATATTATAGATCAATTACAAATTTCCACTAAAAAAAAAAAAAATCTACATTCGAATTTTGGATAAAAAGAGAAAAGATAAAGGACAAAAATGAAGCTAGACTGTAAAATTTGGGGCAAATAAAAATTTTTAAAAGTTTAAAGAATCAAATTAAAGAAAAATTATACACTATTTTACATGATAAATTTTAAAAATGTTTAAAATTTTGGTGTACGGTCACTCTCAATCTCTCCTTTCTCAACCACTGATAAAAGAGTGGCTGATTTAAATTTTGATGTATCAAAATAAAATGAAAAAAAATATAAAAATACAAGAATTGACATTTCATAAATACGAACAAGTACATATTAAAATAATTTATGTACATAAATAGACCATGTCTCATGTCTCCCTTCTAACATTTGGGTCATGTCAAGCAAACTTCATTGTCTCAATTACTATTTCTTAGCCTCATTTAAACCACAAACTGTCAGCACCAACATCTTGAAGGCAATCTTTTTTGTGGTGGAGATAGTTCTAGACTTTGGGTTACGATAAAAATTTACAATACTATATATTAAAAAAAATAAATAAATCACAATAGTGCAAATTTCAAAGCAAGGAGTTTGATTATTTTAATCTCCCTAAATTGGAAGAAAAAGTAACCAACAAAATTGAGAATTTTACTTATTTTTATTGAATTATATAAATACCATATAATAATTAGAATAGTAGAATATAATTTAAAAATAAATGAAGACGAAATTATTACCTTTTAATAATAATAATATTTTATTTCCTTTAAAATTTTATCATTTCTTAAAAAAAATTCTTTCCTTTATTATTTTCCTTCTTCTCTGTTAAAAAAAATGTTAATTTTTTAACAAACTCAATATAATATTCAAAAGTATATTTGTGATTAATATATTTCTGAATAATTATTTAACAAATTAAAAAAATATTTGATGCAGTGCAAGTTGATAGTATAGTGTTGGGTAATGTGTACTCAAAACAAAAGAAGCTTTGTCAGCAACAGACCCAATGTCATCACTGTTGGGAATACCGAGAATGCTAAAATCTGAGCTAAACCAAACCCTTAAAGAAGACAAAAGTGGTTCCCTTATTTTGCTTTTGCAAGTTGCAACTATATTTCTGTTGCTTTTATCTCCTTGACTTAACTGCTTTGGTTAACAGTTAGGCAGATATTTTGATGAGTTGAGTGAGTGTTAAGTATTCCTTTTGGGCAGTGCTGTCCATGTGAATTATCACACGATGATATGATTCAACTATCACAAAAATTAAAATGAATTTATAAATATGTAACTCGTGTATAATATGATTTTATATGAATTATACCATAGATTCACTCATTTAATCAATATATATTAAGGGGTTATACGTGTTATTTATATCGTGTTCTGATCCGTATACAACCATTTAATTAAATTTAATTGAATATTTTAATTCATATATGACTCATTTAATTAAACAAATTACATATATCGTATTCGTATCATAAAATATTTGACGTAATTATTAAACGAATAGTTTTTATATTAACCATAATCATTCATATCGAACCTGGCTCCGATCCAGATAGATGGTTTAGTGGAATCTTTTTCTAACTTTTTTGAAGTTTTTTTAGGACAAGGGACTTTGCCATTGTTACAAGAAAGAAATCTTTTTGTCCTAATAATATTAATTATTAGACATTTTATTATATGATATGATCCAGATATGTAACAGTATATACTTCCACTTAGCAGACTCTAAAATTATGGAATTAAAAGAAAATATTTCAAAATTTTATTATTTTATAAAATAAAATTTTAAAAATTTCTGGAGCTTGAGGCCAAGGTGTTATCCTCAGTCCCTCCTCCATCCGCTTTCCTCCTAGTACTCTATAATTAGCAATTTAACTTGTATTGATATAATGAAAAAGTGAGATTTTTGAGAAATTAAAATATTTTACAATATTAATTTAAAAATTAAAGAGTAATTAGCTGGATTAATTTTTTAGAAATCGAAGTGCGGTGAAATTTATGTTGCCTAGTACTGATAACTATAGAGTAATCAAACTAATTTATCTTTGAAATAATATGGATAAATATGAACATTTCAAGAGAATTTTAATTATTTAAAGAGAGTTAGACCTTATTTATTTTTTGTGATTATGGTTAGACTTTGAAGGTTAAAATTCCAATCATTAAACTTTAAGTTTTTTTTTTTTTTTCTTTTTTGATATAATTAGGAGCTGTAATCTCACTTAGGTCGTAGAACATAAAGATTTTTTGCCCACTCAGTAAATTACATTTTCCAAATATCAAACTTGTATTGTCACCCGTATGAAAATTGAAGCAGCTTACCACCCAATCAATATCTTGTTGGTATTAAACTTAAGTATCTAGTAATGTTTTGATTAATAATGGTATTGTTTGCAATATAAAACTAAATAAATATAAAGTTTTTTTAAAATTGTAAATATTTTAGTTTTTGATTCCAAATGCTAGGCTTTGTTTGGGAGTAAGAATAAGGATAAAGAGCCAAGCAAGAATCATGCTTTGTTTGGGAGTTTAAGTACTCGACAAGAAAGGACAATAACTTAATAAGAGTTTTAGGGAATAAGACTTTAAATATTTACTTTCCCATCAAAATTAGTGGAATAAGGGATATCTTTTACTTAATTATAAATTTTAATTTAATAATTCTCTCTTGATAAATGAACTTGCAAAACTAACTATTGAATTAGGAAAGGATAATATATAAATTATGTAATTCAGCCATTTAGCAAAATCATTGGGAGTGAATTTTTGTATTCTGCTTCTTTTTATAAAAATCACAGGAAAGGAGAACAATGGAGAGCTAGGCTCAAACGTGAGTCATTTCATGTTTTGGCACATTCCAATACATAAATTTATTTCAAAAACCTCGAAACACACTATGTAAATTCAGACTAGTCATGCCAGGATTTTGTTTTTCCAGAAACACAATTCCAAAAAGTAGCTCAATCTTTTTTCCTAAACCCTAACAGATATCATGAATGGCATTGCAGTTGGCCTGCTTTTAGCAAACCTGTTTTGAGAGCGTCCAGAACTCTAACAAATCATAAAATAAAATAAAAATAAAAGATAAAAAGTCAATTTTTCTAGTTTTTTTCCCAACTATAATTCACCAAAACCACTTACAAAAATTTTAGATGGTAAGATGACATAAGCAAAATTCTAAGACAGATCAAAACTTTATACCAAACAGAGCCTTGACAACAACACAAAACCCATATAAAAAATAAATAAAAAAAAAAGGGGGAGAGCAGTGGTTGACGAGGTAAACACCTCGACCTAGGATAGGAGATTACAATGGACCACAAATCTGGCAACATTAGCAGCATCCTGCTTCATAAAGTGATTATTTCAAAGACAAACCCTATAAAACTATATCTAACCCTGTCTCAAAAGTAAATGCTCCACATCGCCTGTCAAATATAGTTCCAAATGACTACTCAGAATGTCTATTAACTTTCAACAGTCAATCAATACTTGTTAAACTGGAAACCATACAATCCATCATCTATCAGTAGAACCTTCGAGGGTAGCGATCCATCATCCTTCCAGAAGGGCACTCAACTGCGCGGTGTCCTCGCCCACCACAGTTGTGACAGATCATTAATGGACCCACGCAATCCCTGCTCATGTGGCCATACTGGTGACAGTTCCTGCATACAATGTCTTGGTAACCGCTGCTGCGTCGATCTCCAAGCATATTTGCTTTCGGGCATTGTCTAGCCACATGCCCAGATACATTGCACATGTTGCAAATAGGATCATTTTGACAGTCGCGTGCCAAGTGACCCGTTTTCCTACAGTTGTTACATGCCTTGTCATTTGTACAATCAGCTGCAATATGGCCCTGCTTATAACAATTGTTGCACAACCTCAAATCCCCAGGTGGCAGTGGTGGAGCAGTGCACTCTTTAGCACGATGTCCAGCCTTGCCACAAGTATGACAGATGCCCTCATTTGGACAATGGCTGGCCATATGCCCAGGTTCTCGGCAATTCCAACAAAGTGATTTTGTGGTGCACTCCGAAGCAATATGCCTGCCAGTTTTTTTTTTGGACTTAGTCAGCTTCAACAGAAATAACAAAGAGGTGCATGTCAATACCTGTGATGCACTTGATTGCATGACCGGTACTAAACAAACATGAACAAAATCTTTACACAAGCGTTGCATACATATCTTCACATGTAGATACTCTTGACACTCTTCATAGAGATCAGATACATCACCTGATATTTTAATATCAACTGTCTCATGCATTGACAGTCATAGTGCAGTAGTGCCATTCAAAGAAAGCCAATTTTATACATTTCGTACAATATACAGAGTAATTTTTAAAAACCAACAAGCAAATTACTTACCCAAACCAAACCAAGTAGGGTGAATTTTTTATTTTTTTTTTTATTTTTTATTTTTTTTTGTTTAGAACACATATCTATTTAGAATTTACAGGGGAGAGCAATAGCTAAATTTTATGCTTCAAATTACTCAAATGTAGAAAGAGATTTCATACCCTGGAAGGCCACAATTATGACATATAGCCACATTGGGGCACTCTCTAGCAAAATGTCCAGGCCGCTTGCAGTTCTTGCACAGATTGCTTTGGCTGGTAAGAAGAGCAAACACAACCTCAATATTAAGCATGGTAAAACAGCATGCTAGAACATTGAATTACGAGAACTCCTGAAAACCAAGATGCTGAAACATTCCCTGCCTTTTGTCCGCATGTGAGCCTACATTTTTATGCGTGTCTATGTGAGCATGCACATGAAAGAGAGAAAGACATGACCCAGGAGAGCTTAGAAGGTTCTCCTTCCCATCATTCTTCTGGTATGTCATTAACTTTGTTTAAATAATCCTTCTTCAACACGAAGAAAATAGAAAAGGAAAATTCTTTTGGTCTCAATCAAGAAACCAGATTTATTACCATAACCTACATTTTTCAACAAAATAGGTTGATTTAAACTATGACCATGAGCAAGATATCATAGAACAAACAACTAATCCCAGTAATCCATCTATCAAGAAAACAACAAAAAAGAAAAGATTAGAAAACAGATGAGTTGCAGGACCACCTTCCCACGCATAAATAACATCAAAAGTTCAACCTGCATTCTAAAATTACAGAATTGCAAAGTAGAGACTAAAATACTTTTAAGCAATAACCCCAAAATGACATTTCTGTAATTACTTCATATACATGTTAGAAATATGAGTAGCTTCAATGACAAGATCCCCTATAATATAAATGCGCTTAATATGAAATAGGACAGTTATCAAATACAACGAAAATCCCTAGAAGCAAATGCTAACACTTTTCTTTGCCCCTGTTAGCCACTTCCAAGGCACAGAGAAAGGAAAATATACTAAGTGATCAAAGATCAGAAAACCTGAAACCCCGACGAGACTCTCGTCTGTAAGGTGCACCACGATAAGAAAACCGATCAGAGCGGATCTTACGATCCATTGGGCTCCGGCTCCTGCTCCTGGTCCTGCTCGGGCTCCGGCTCCTGCTGTCTGAACTCATGTTCAAAATAACTCTTATTTAACCACTAACTCCACTGATCAGCAAAAACACCACACCACCACCAACACCACAACAGCCGCTGCCTCCTGCCTGTCCACATTACAACCACAGACTAATGATCATCCATTAACTCAAACCCTAAACCCCTTATCATCCCTCCAAAACAAATGCACCAAAGCCCAATAGTAAACAACATTAAATTTTCAACAAGCAGTCCATCCAAGATCAGTTACATCAATGGTATAACTTCATGACCCAGATCCTCAACCACATCCTTATAATGAAAATCAAACATCTCTAAACAATCATTTCCCCAGTACAACATCAAGCTTGAAGAATTACAAGTTACATCACACAAGCTCCATCTCCTTAACCAAGCATTAAACTGAGGCCTACAACAATCATAAGAGATTAAAGAAAGATAGTTGGATCCAGATAGGAAAAGTCAATGGAATGCAACAGGAACTCAAGAAGTAACTTGCAGAAGGGAGACAAAGGCAAAAACTCTCATGGGGAAGAAATAAATGAATTATAAGAACTCAAAAGAATTCAAATAAAGGAGAGAGAGCGAGAAATGGGGAAAACAAAAGAGACAGATAGAGAAATATTGAAGCAAAACAGTCATTTTCATCCGCAGAAAAGCCAACCAAGTGTGGTAACATGTTCCTAGCCCTTCTGGTTGTTGGCTAACAGATGGAAAAGGTTACTAACTAATTTAGATCCTTAGATGGCAAATGCAAAAATCCCTGCTGGGGTAACGTCAGAGTTAGAAGAACTAAGCTATGGACTTCTGGAGCCCCTTTTGGACTAACAAGATATTTAATGTTAATTCATTGCTGTGTGGACAGAGATTCCACAGAATTAACAACAAAATTTATCCATCTCCAATATGCAACACGATGATGTAAGATTATGATGCTTGCATGCAATTGACTCCCATTTCCTGAATTGAAACTATGTCATTGCCCCCTCTCACTTGGTTAAAACCTCTTTTAATCTCTTTTCCCTTGATTTACTGTTTCATGATGCATAAAAATAAGTTTTTCATGTTTAAATGTCTGCATGAATAGGCATCTAGCGTGCCCAGAATGAAAGAAATCATTGTCAGAATTTCAAGACATTCTGCTTTTCTCCCAATAATCGTTCAATCTTACAGTCAAGCAATCTTATGACAAGTTCTTGTGAATAAAAACACCTCAATAGAATGCAAAAGAATAATGGCTTCCATAAGATCACGATTCATGGAGATTTTTGACAAATTTTATAAGCTTTATGGATCTTCTACCATATAGAGGAATTGTTGCTAATGAGCTCTAAGAAAAGGGACAAAAAGCAAAAACAAAACGCCGGTCGTTCAATTAGTAGAGAGCATGAACCATCTAAACCGTGCAAAAACTCCAATTTGTCAAGTTTAAGCTATATCAAAGGTCACAGACTATTAGAGACAAACCGAACATAGATGAATTACAATTTATCAAGAAAACAGCATGGAATTGCTATCTATGAAGTCAAATGCCAAATCTCTGAAAAGCTATAAAGATCCAATCTCAAATGCACGAGTATATCGCATCACTCAATTTCCCACTGACATTACGAACCAGAAAAGCAGCAAACAATAAATGAAACCCTAATTTGCAATTTAAGGAAGAGAAAAAGGAACAAACCTAACGTTGTGCAGCCGGTAACGGTCCTAACGAGTGTTGAGCCTAAGAGGGAGACGCGCACAGCTAAAAGGAACGACACGAACCAAAATCTGGTAAAAATGCGGATTGGAGAATAAGAGAGGAGCAGCCTGCTACAAGGGTGGCGTTTTCAAAGGCACGAACGTATCGACTCTGATTATCGTAAAAAATAAAAATAAAACGATGGAACGTGTCTGAGCGTCACCAGGCCCATTACTAAGCCTTCGGCGGATACGATGTTGACCTGGGCCATTAAAGCCCATTATTAAATCAGGCAGATATCTTGGCATGGAGCAGGGAGAAACGGACACCGGCGAATTTTCCGTTTAGAATTTTATTATCCATACTTATTTTAGATGTTCAAATATTATTATCTGTATCTATCTTAAATCTATTTAAAACATCTATTAAATTGATAGGACATCTGTGTTTAAATTATCTAAACCTGAATTTATTTAAAATATATTTTTTATTAATAATTTGTAAAGTACCTACTAATATCTATAATTAAAACCATTTAACACGGTGGATATTCAGAGACTTGTATATATACGTGTCACAATTTTATTTATATATAAAATTACTTTTTTACCATTAATTAAACAAGTTAGACAGGTTTTACGAGTAAATCTATGATATGACATAGGATTCAATTTTAATAAATAATTATTTTATTAAATTTTAAAATTTTTAACTAGTATATTATTAGTGATTTTTCATTATTGTAATATATTTGTTGGACCCATTTTATGATTTTTATTTTTTGGAAGTTAGTTTTAATATTATGGATTTGAGCTTAAGTACACCCGTAATTAATTTACAAATTAAGCTGACAGCCAACGAATTCGTTGCTTATTTTTCAAAAAATAAGCAATAATATTATATAATTTTATTTAAATTTATTGCTATTCGTCTTCTAGCATTTGTACTTTTCTTTTTATTTTTTATTTTTAAATTATATTTAAAAAAAAATATGAGATATATTTTTAATATAAAAGGGGAGGATTCAATGATTATTCGTTCCCCAAAACCATAAGTAAAAAATTTTGGTAGATGGAGTTCTCATCGAAACTTCTTTTGAGAAATGAGTCAGACTCGATCATTTTTAAGAACAATAACTAAAGGTCCTGATACTACCACTTAGATCTGTAACCTACATGTTGATGCTCACAATTTCGATAGCTATACCAATGATTTGGAGGAGATTCCTCGAAAAGTATTTAGTAATTATTTCGGCCAATTCTCCGTCATCTTTCTTTAGCTAAGTGACATATATTTTTACGGTGCTCATTTTTCAAATTATGAAGCATGGCTAAGTGATCCTATGCACATTGGACCTGACACTTCAGTAGTTTGCCCAATAATGGGTCAAGAAATGTTGAATGGAGATGTGGGAGGAAGGGGTTTCAAGGAATACAAATAAACTCTAGTTTTTTTCAGATTTGGAGAGCATTACTGTAAGCTTCTTCTTCTGCTAACTACGTTTGCTTCAAATGGATATTTAATATTTTTTATATATTATTCAAATCACAATTAAATTCAACTAATTGAAGTTACATGACAAATGTTTCAACTATCCTAAAAACTATATTTAATACATTTTATATATTAAATCATACAGTTAAATTTTATTATATTTGAAGCTACTTAGTGAAAAATGATTTAAAAATTATATTTAAAATATAGAAAAAACACATTATAAAACTCTTATTGTGAAAAATATCTTCCAACTATATTTGACTAAAAGTTGCATTTAAAATGTTTTTATGTATTATAGATTATACAGTCATCATATTTATGAAAGAGTTTTATTGGGCAAAACATTTATTAGAATCAATTTCAAAATTAAATTATCATTATTTTTTCAACAATAGAATTAAAAATTTTTAAGATATTTTTGTCGATCCATAAGTTGAATGGAGTGTTTTAGGAACTCAATGTTCTGCCATTCATATTTTATATTTGATACAATTAATTGTATTATATATATATATATATTATTGCCATTCATATTTATATTTGATACAATTAATTGTATTATAATATATATATATATTAAATATGATAAAATTAATACACGTGTTGTATATATATATATATATATATATATTATACACGTGTTATAAATTTTATCATATTTTAAAAATAAATAAATATAAAATGATATATTATTAAAATAAAAAACTTTAACACATTTTGGAACAATATTAATTGCCATATAAAAGTTTTATGATTTAAAAGGGCTAATCCCTTTGAGTCATGGAACGAATTTTGCTATTTTCACACTTATCATATTTAAAAATAAATAATATATAAAATGATATATTATTTAAAATAAAAAACTTTAACCACATTTTGGAACAATATAATTGCATATAAAGTTTTATATTTAAAAGGCTAATCCCTTTGAGTCATGGAACGAATTTGTATTTTCACACTTACGGAAATTGAGGTAGTTAACTACTTCAACTAACACCTTATTAATTATTAATGAATTGTTTATTATTTATTATTGAAAGAAAAAAAAAATAAAGAGTTTCATGCTTTAAAGTGATAATATTCATATTAAGGTTGTAATATGAATAAGGTTGAAATTTTTATATATTTACATAGATTTGACAATTTTATGTTTATTGTAAAACTATATTAATTTAATTATTCGGCCCATACCTCATATGTGATTAATTTAAAAAAAATATATTTGTAATAAGTTTTATTGGTAAATGAATTATACCTTAATTTTTAAATACATGGGCTTACGTTTGTATGCAAAAAATATATAGCATCAATATTATAAATTACCTTGCTTTGTTGAAAAAAAAATTTCACATAACCATGACAATTCAATCTTCATAAAATACTTTTTTGAAAATTTACTTTTAAAAAATATGAAAATATTAAATTATGGTAATTAAATTCTCCTTACTAATTCTAGTTTTAAACAAAGCGAAATCAATTATTATTTTACTCTTCTTCATCTTTCTCTCAATTTTACAAATTTTAATCAATCAAAAGCACATCAATTTATACTAACATATAGTGTTTCATATGGTAAAGCATTGGGTATTTTGGAATAAAAAATCTAAGTAAATAAAAAAAAATTTCAAGAAAAAATTATGCTATAATATTGCAAATAAAAAATAAAAAAAAAAGATTTTAAAACATAGGGTCTATTCGACAATACTAGTTATTTTAGTAGCTGTTAATGATGATTTTATTAGCAGTTAGATATTAGATGTTAATCTGTTAACTGTTTATATAGCTGTTAAGATTAAAAATATTTGGTAAAAATAGCTATTTGATTATCTATTGAATTTAAAATGACAAGAAAGAATATTTAAATACAACTATAGAAGTGAATTCATTATATATAAAAAAAAGAGATAATTTATATGAGTTATAATTATTTTTTTGTAAAAAAAATGTTAATCTATATTGTGTAATCCAATTATATAAATTGAAATCATTATCATTTCTAAAATGATAATACAATTTCCTTACATATTCTACTATTAATTCATTATTAAATTTTTTTATTTAAATTTTTACGTAAAATAATGTAATTTTTCAATTTAATTGCAGACTTGCAGTACCATAACAACCATTGAAAAGAAAAACTTTAAACTATTATTAATATAAATTAATTAAAGATAATATAAGATAATTAAGGACAAATTTGTCAAAAAACTTTCAATCAAAAAATGAAAATGCCAAACGTTAGATGAATTAACGTTTTAATAAACACTATCTTATCCATTAATAACTATTTTATATATTATTTTACTGAACCACATGATTTACAAAAAAATGAACTAATAATTTATGGAAATAATTTTACATAATTTACGTAGTCAAAGGAAAATAAAAATAAAAAAAGAAAACTTTCGAGCATCCAAAGTATCTCCATAACTGTAATGTTATAATAACTTGACTAACAATTGTTTCCATCTCGTTTTTCAATTCCCCAATAAAAAAAATGATATAAAATGAATATATGTCTACACCGTTTATTTAATAAAATTATCTATTTTAATATTTAATGAAAAATTTTAATTTAGATATTTAGTTGATAAAAATAAAGCTAAATACTAAAATAAAAAATAATAATATTACGTATTAGGCAGTGGTTTGAGTCGATGATATTGGAAAATGGAATTTATATATTACAAGGATTTGTTAATTTGTTTGTGCGAAAATAGGGATTGCAACTCAAAAATTAACAAATTATATAACGATTTCAATTTTACTATTTTAAAAGGAGGGAATCACAATTTTTCTTTATTTTTCTTTACAAAATCTTTTGAAAATTTTTCTTTTGTCCATCCTAATCGTAGAGTTTGGCTATATAAAGTTTGTAAAATCTTTATCAATCACGACTAATACTGTATTCAATAGAAAAAAATGAAATAGATAATTGAATGGAATAAGGAATATATAATTTTTATTCGTGTGTTTAGTATGCACCATAGAATAAAAATTTAAATTCCGTTCATATCTTTGGTTGATAGGAACAATGAAATGAATAGAACGAGTGATTAGCAAAAAGACTAAAATATCCATATTTACTATAAATTAATGTATTCAAATTAATTAGTTTGTTAAAATAAGACTTATCCTTTAAGATACTTCTATAATTAGCTTTAATATCTTCAATATATGCAAATAATGAGAACGTAAATTATTTCTCAAAATCTATTTGCTATTGAATAAAATAATAGAGAAATAGAAAATTTGTTTTCAATCTCATTCAGCATACTAAACACGTCGTGTTTGTGGATTTATAAATTAAATATTTTTTTTAGTCTATGAATTAAAAGTGTTACAATTTTTAAATAAATTTTCTTCATTACAACAGTAGTAAAAAAATAAATCAAGAGAAATAATTTCAAATAAAACATTTTGAGAAAAATACTTTTTAGATAAATCATTTTTCAAGAGACAAAAATCAATTAAATTCAATTGGTTTCAGGCTTCAAGCCGTGAAGTCCATTATCACCAAAACAAAGCTGATCCGCTAACAGGGCCCATTATTTACGGGAGGGGAGGGGAGGGGAGGGGAGGGGAAGAGGTTCGTCGTCGTTTCGATAAATTGATCACGTAAGCTAAAGTCCAAGTCGAATTAAAGCGTCCTTTCTGCCAGCACTGTCTCGTCTTGTAATATCTCAAATCATAAATTTCCTACATTTCTCAAATTGCGAGGAACGACACTAATTTATTTCACCTAAAACTCAAAACCCTAATCTTTCATTTAGGGTTTTCTTATTCTCACTTCAATTTCTCTTCCAATGGAGACCGAAGAAGATGATAATTCAAAGACCACAATGACATCTACTACGGTAACAACAATAGCAGAGATGGATACAAACAAAGAGCTTCTACCTGTCGAACCTCAATGCGGGGCCCACCCCGCAGCCGAGTTGCCTCGGTTGGAATTGTGGGGTGGTGGTGATGCCGAGTCACAATCACAACTACCGTCACCAGGGCCACCTGAAACGGCAACGAAGCTTCCCGATAAAGGCGAAAATCAGGAGGAAGTTGTAGGGGATAATACTTCCGGTGCAGAGTTAAGCGAGTTGGAAGTCGGTGGAGGTGGTGGCGAGTCTCAATCACCTCCGCCACGATTGCAGCCGGAAGTAGCTGTAACTGAGGGAGGCGAAGATGAGAGAACTACGGTGGAAGAGGAGAGCGGTCAGGCCAAAGAGGAGAGTCGGGGCATTGAAGCAACGGAAATAACAGAAGAGGTCCCCGAGAAAGAAGAGGAAGATGAAGGTCTTATTGCTGGGGAAGGAGGGCATATAGATACAAACAATACCGATAACAAAGACAACGGTAGAGTTTTGAATGCTGAAGTGGAAGATAACTATGGTATTATGGGCGCTGGCGCTGGAGTTGAGGGGCTGGAGGCGAATAAGGGAACAGAGGCTAAAATGGAGGTCGTTGCTGACGTGGCAATTGAAACAGAGGGAACAGTAATGGACGAGGGAAGGGAGAAGAATATAGAAAGGACAGACATCGCAGACGAAACAAGGAAGGGCGCCACTGACACAACAGAGGAGGAAGAAATGGCTGACGTGGCATATAGAGCAGAATTAGAGGAAGATAACAAACCAGATATAGCAGAGGACGAGGAAGTAAAGGAGGAGAAGGCAGAAGAAGTTATGTTGGCAGAGGGGAATGAAAAGGAAACTGTAGCGCAGGAAAACGAAAAGTTTGTTAGTGAAGCAGGGGAAATGGATGAGTCAGAGATGGCCAACGGGACAGAGGAAAAGGACAATGAAGCGGAGATGGACAATGAAGAGATGGATGTAGCTAATGCCGGAGAAGAAGTGGAGATGACAGAAGAAACAGAGAATGCAGAGGGGATGGAACTGGCTGATGGAACTGAGGGGGTAGGAGATGAAGTTGACGGGGCAGGAGATGATGTGGAGGAAGTTAGTAGAAGTAATGGCGGGAAGAGGAAGCGAGGGAAGAACGCCAAGGCTCCCGCTAGAGTTTCATCCAGGAAGAAGGTGGAAGAGGATGTATGTTTCATTTGCTTTGATGGTGGTGAACTTGTCCTCTGTGACCGCAGGTTATAAAAAGAGAACAATTTTTCTAATTCATTTATATAAGCTGTGATGAGTTCTTTGCTCTACGTGGTTTTAACCATGTGTTTAAATATATTATTGATTTTGCAGGGGATGCCCTAAAGCGTATCATCCATCCTGTGTTAACCGAGATGATGCATTCTTTCGAGCTAAGGGTCGGTGGAATTGTGGTGAGTAGCTCTGTTTTGGTTTACCTTTAATCTTCTTTGTTCGAGGGTTATTTGTGATTGATTATGTTCTCTGATGCAGTAGAATTGTGGTGAGTTGATCTTCAATTGTTACCTAAGTTTTTTGCATCTTTATCTGATGGAGTTATTTATATTTTTGATTATTCAATTACTTATTGTTCTGTGGTGTTTCAGATGTTTGGTTTCTGCTGATCTGTGGACTTTTCTGATGTGCCATTGTCCTTTCTTCACTTGTCTTTTGGCTGTTTACAAACTCTTCTTTGAGAATCTAGGAGAGATGATAAATTTCATAGTGTTGGTGCAAGTGTGATTGTATAAATTTGTAATTTTGGATTCTCATGAAAGATTCAAATAATTTTCTCACCACTTGCAAGAAATTTTGATTGTTGAGGGAGTTAAAAATCATTCACAAACCATAACTATTTAAATCCTTCCACTTTGTCAGCATATCCTCTTAATGGAATTTCTTTAAAGTATTGAATTTGTTGCTTTTCTTTTCTTTGGAAAAGGTTTCATGTACACGACAGCGAAGTTTGCAGGAGTGGACTTGTGTGAAGGGACATGAAGCTCTTGCCAAGCACACTCTTTTAAGTTTTGCAAGCTCATCAAGTTGGTTTATTGTGGTTGATTTTGTTTCATGAATTGTCAAAAGTCCCAACGCCCATTGCCAGTAGTAGCTATTCCGAGCAAAGGTGGCAAAATTATGATTACTACCCTGCGAAGTAATCATCTTTTAGTGGCTATATGAAGGATAGATGGAATACTTAGGTTCTCAATGGCAATTGTAAATGTTATCCTTGCTTTGTATACATCTTTTCTTTAGGGAACTATTGCAATGTACTTCGGCTCATCTCTATTCTTGTCTCGGTCCCTTGAACACTATGCTGTGTCAGTTTTCAAGTAATAGTTGATGACAAGAACATTACATTCTGCTTTTGCAGCATAGATTGTCCTATATAAGCAAGAATAGATTTTTCTTTGTAAGAACTTTTGCATTCTTTATTGAGAAATGTTAAGCTGCAAGAATGCTTGTCACTTGTCATGAACTGATGCTTCGGGCATTATTATGCTCCATACATGGAGGGCATGGGCTTTTGGTTTAAAACTAACTCCCTGCCTTCCCCAACATTTTGTCTATGATGGAATTAACAGAGAATAAATTGCCTGGAATCTGACAAGTCATACTCACTCAATTCAATCAAGTTCAAATCTCAAACTGCTCAACTCAGTCAAGTTCCAATCTCAAACTAGTTGGGATTGGCATCTATTTCTTCTGTACCACTGAGCCATTAAATTCTTTCTTTCTACTTCCAAAAAATACATAATTTGAGAAAATTGAAATGTGCCCAATATCATATGGTATGGAGTTCAATTCTGTAAGAGCTCAAGGATTTCATAACTTATTTAGTCAGCCAGCTGCCTTTATCTGAATCACGTTCATGTTTGCTGCCTGGCTCTTGACCTAAGAGTCCTGATTCTTGAGTTTCTACTACAACAGGTTTATATTAAGATAGCTTGGACCTTTTTGTATCCATTCACTCATTATCACTACAATCAACACTACCAAGATTACTCAAGTGTATAAAAATTGTCCAATGATGAGTTATGATGGCTCAACAATTGAATGGAAGATATATAGAATGAAGCAAGTGATTTTCTAGGAAATTCCCATGGAGCATGATTTCAGATGCTTCAAGCCCATTGAAGAAGTACATTCTATATAAGCTGTATTTTGTTCTCACTTTGCTTGGCCCGTTGGTGGAGTTTGATGGGTTTCTTATGCTAGTAATAAATGTTCTTGGTGTCAAATCCAATAACTAAAGCACTTGAAAATTGTTTAAAGCCTGCTTCAATATGAGAGTTCTCTTATTTCTCCACTCTTACTGATGTGGTAGGCTTATCCATTTGTACTTAAGCATGCTGGTTCACATAAATATTTTTGCTGCATTGTTTGCATGTTAGTTTTCTTTTTGATGCCTATGTGATGCTGCATAGGATTTGGTTATATCTTTTGATCTACTCTTTTCACAAGAGCTATTGTAATTTATATATTTTTTTTTATTTGTTGAATTTTTTTTATGTATGAAAATTTTTTCCTTTTTTTTTTATCTGTATTGATGTAATATAAATATTATTATTTTCTCTGAATTTAGGTTGGCATCTGTGTAGCATCTGTGAGAAGAACGCCTATTATATGTGCTATACATGCACGTTCTCCTTGTGCAAGGGTTGTGTCAAAGATGCTGTCATCCTATGTGTTAGAGGTAACCGAGGCTTCTGTGAGACGTGCATGAAAACAGTAATGCTGATCGAAAGGAATGAGCAAGGAAACAAAGAAATGGTATGTTGCCTTTTGGATTTTAATTTTAATCTTGCATTTCTTTCTTCTTTGCAGCTTATTGTGGTCGATGCTATGAAGGCTGCATATCTGGAATGTTTTAGTGTACTAATATATAATCTATAAATCCTGAGAAAGAAAACCATGCATTAAAGACAAAGACTAAGTTGCACGTGTGATGTTGTTCTAACTGCTGACAGGAGTTTGTCTGACTGATGGTGATCTTATTTGATTCATCTGATGGCTCATATATGAACCCTATTAAGCTAGCGTTTTGGCCTTTTAGGTTCTTTGATGTCCTGGAGTAAATTTCTTTCATTCTGATTTTGATGGATGTTAAATTGCTAATAAGTTAGCTCTGGATTGGGTGCATTTTGTAATAATATTTTCCATCGTTCCAATGGTTTCTTTATTCCAATGGCTAATCATGGTTGGGTGTATTTGCATACTTAGAATTGATGAGATCAGCAAATACTGTTAGAGGGGCAAAATGAATTGTATTATTATTTCCATCTTACAATGTCAAGAAACCTGCAATCCATACTTGTACTTTTAAAGAATTTTTTGCATTTTCAACCAGTCAAGTCTGACATCTCTGATATCGCCAGTTTCCTCAACCTTCACTCTATTGTCAGTGCTCTTCTATACTTACATTTGATATTTTGCTGCTTGCTATATATGTCCTGTATCCTATATTGAGTTGATAAATTGGGTGGGCCATAGTGAATGGCGGAATGTCCTCTGTTTCAAATATTTCTCATCAAAAAACAACTGTTTTCCTTTGCTTGACTTGTAACATATGTGGCATTATCAAGATGTAAAAGAAGCAATATGTTCTTATATGCCCTTTTTTAATTTTTCTAAATTTGTATAATACTTCTCATAAATCCAAGATTTTTGCAATAGTTTCATCTCATACTTATTATTAAAAGTAATAAAACAATTGATCACATGATGGAGGGAATTATCTGATTTACATATTTTGCACATACTGGTATTCTCTTATTAATCATCTGTGTACTAGTTTACTTCCCCATAGTGAAGCATAGTATCTCTGCATAATGCCAAATTGATGCCAGCCTGCATCTACCATTTTTTGATACCTTGGGAATGGTTTTTTTTTTCAAATATATCTTTTCCCTACAAACAACTGATGGATACCTGGTAACTGGCTTTCTATCCATAAAACTATCTTTATTCCAGCACTATCTTGATTTTATCACTTACCCTGGTTAGCTTTGTGAAAGAATGATGAGGTGGTTGTTGATTCCGAGTCTTTTTCTGACTTTTTTCCAGCTGGTAATTCTCCTCGATTATTTTATATATCAGCACTGACAGTTTCCCTTCTCTGATTTATTTGCTATAGCTTGAGTATTAGTTTTCTTTTATTTTTCTGTTTAGTTTTTTTTTTTTTTTTCCTAGTAATTTCATTCTTTTTTTATGCTCTTTTGCTTGTGTTTTGTAATTGTGCAGGCACAAGTAGATTTTGATGACAAAAATAGCTGGGAGTATCTCTTCAAGGATTACTGGATTGATTTAAAAGAAAGGCTGTCTTTAACTTCAGATGAATTATCTCAGGCCAAAAATCCATGGAAAGGATCTGAGTCACATGCTGGGAAGCGGGAATCTACTGATGAACTCTATGATATTCATAATGATGGAGGATCAGGATCAGACAGTTCTGGGAATCCAGAAGTAACTACCTCCAAAAGAAGAAAGCCAAAAAAACGGTTGAAGTCTCATGCTAAAGTGAGGGACTCACCCACCAAGGCAACAGTAAACAAATCTGGAGGGGCATCCTCAGATGAGAGATTGGAGTGGGCATCAAATGAGCTTTTAGAATTTGTTATGCATATGAAGGATGGTGATAAGTCTGTTTGCTCTCAGTTTGATGTTCAGGCTCTTCTTCTGGAATATATAAAAAGGAATAAACTTCGTGATCCTCGTCGTAAAAGTCAGATAATTTGTGATTCAAGGCTTGAGAAATTGTTTGGGAAGCCACGTGTGGGACATTTTGAAATGTTAAAGCTTTTGGAATCTCACTTTCTGTTGAAAGAGGATTCTCAGGCAGATGATCTTCAAGGGAGTGTTGTTGATACAGAAACTAATCAGTTGGAAAATGACGGAAACTCTGATGGTCTTATGAAGGCACATAAGGATAAGAAACGCAAGTCGCGTAAAAAGAGTGATGGGAGAGGACTGCAATCTAATGTTGACGATTATGCAGCCATTGATATACACAACATCAATTTAATTTACTTACGACGCAGTTTGTTGGAGACTCTAATTGATGATACTGAAACATTTCATGATAAAGTTGTCGGTTCTTTTGTGAGAATAAGGATATCTGGGAGTGCTCAAAAGCAAGATTTATATAGGCTAGTCCAAGTTGTTGGTAAATATTCTTTTAACCGTCTGCTTCCTTCACAATTATTGGCCTTAGTCTGGAAGAAAGAAAGATGACTTTCTAGATTATAAAAGTAAGTTTATGATGTGGCAGGTACGAGCAAAGCTGGTGAGCCCTATAGAGTTGGCAAAAGGACAACTGATTTCCTGCTGGAAATATTAAATTTAAACAAGACAGAGATTGTATCAATTGATATAATCTCAAATCAAGAGTTCACTGAGGTGATTAATGATAACACTCATTTTCAAGTTATTTTTAGCTTCTCAATAAGTTGAAAATGAGCAAAGCCAAGGCACTTGTGAGTGCCTTAGAGTTCCACTCAATAAAAGCTTGTTTGAGTTTGTGTTAACGTTAATAAGCCAAATATAACTGCCTTTTAAGGTTTGTCTAATAAAAAGGGCTATGCTCGAATTAGATGAGGCCCAACTAATTTAGGCTTGTGAGCCAACTTGTTTTAGCCATGCAAGCTAGCATATGGCTAGAAATCTTTATTGTTTTGTGTTTGACGTATACTGTTTATTCAAAGAAAATCTTGTAGAGACTTTTTTTGTTTTAAAAAAAAAATTCTGTAGACTTGCAGAATAAGCCTTGGACTACACATTTTTCTATAAACACATACAAAGAAAAATATGATTGATTATATTGAAAATTTTAGAACAAACATTCAAGTTTTTGAAATAACTTTTTGATTGATTATAGGTGAACTCTATTAAGAAAAGACTTTGACTTGATTTCAGCTTGTTTGCATTCATTTAACAAATGTGCCTTGTATGAATTTTTTTGTACTTTGCTTGGTTCAGCTCAACTTGTCTGATAAATGAGGCAAGCTTGAGTTTGAATTTAGAGCGTTTTTTCAGCCCTACCATTCAGTAAATATGGCATCTCTCATTTGCATGCCTATTTTTCAGTGTCTTAATCTTTGCTTCATCATCTCCATAATATTTCTGGAATTCTCTTTCTTTCAAGTGAGAAAAAAATGATGTGTGAGTGCTAGAGATCCTTATGTTTTGTATACCTGTCTATAATGATTCAAGGGGATAGTTTGGCATAAACATGTATGTTTAATGTTCAGGATAACTGTCAAACAGACTGAATATTGATATTTCAAATTTTGGTGTCTAGACATATAATGGAATTTATAATATTTCATCCGAAATTTCTATGTGTTAACAAACTATCTTTGGTATGAAAGATTGATTTCCATGTTCAAGGGTTTCACTAAGAGAATGACAATATTCTGAGGAACTGAAAAAAAAAAAAATGCTACTGTTGGTTTGGAACTGAAGTAAATCCTGAAAAATAACTCAACATCTTCGTATAATTTTGAAAACCATGTGTAGTTGCATGTATCCTAAGTTTTGATTATCAATCTTAAGACATTCATAGTCGCAGTAGTCCTTGATACATCATTTTGTTGCAGCTAACTTGAAGCTTTTCATTTTAGTTTGTCACAATCCCAAATCATGCAAAATTTCATGGTTGATTTGCAATTTCTGCACACTTTAAACATTAACATTGATTTGAACATTGAAATTGCTATTGTAAATGGTATTGGGACCCTGACATAGAAGTCAATATTGCATTTAAACCTTACTGTCAAAAGCATGTCTATATGAAAGAAAATAATGGTTCATGCTTGACATTGTTTAATGGCCTGGTACACTGAAGTTACTAGGATTTCTATGAAGCATCATTTTCTTTCCAAATAAGCAGCAACATTTGTAAATTTATTGTGTTGTCTCCCTTTGTCTGTATGGTTGTTTCTTTGCTAATGTGGATTTTGTTCTTATTCTCTCTTAGGATGAATGTAAGCGACTGCGGCAAAGCATTAAATGCGGATTCATTAATCGGTTGACTGTGGTATGCTTTGTTACATTACTTTCTATTCTATGTTTTGCTTTCTATATTCTGTTTGTTCTGAAGAGACAGTTTCTTGCATGTAGGGTGACATTCAGGAAAAAGCCATTGCACTTCAGGCAGTCAGAGTTGAAGATGTAAGTTTTTGTGTGTGAACTTTTGTAATGATATTTGACTTTACTCTAGGCAGTGAATACTTTAGTAATATATGAAAAAGATGCTTGCAACCTTTTTGAACCAAACAAAAAGCCGAACTATGGGGGATAGCGCTTCTCCCTAATATGAAGCTCCACCCAACTCTGCCCTGATCCCAATTTCCAAGTGGGATTCAAACTCAAGACTTTTGATATTAAGACTCCCAAGAGTTTAAATTCAGATGAACCCATGAGTAGTAATCCTGAGGTATAATACTGATAATTGGATGGTATGGTTGACATTTCCAAAATACTTCTAAGTGGTAATGTTTTTAAGCTTGAAAAGAATAAATGAATTTTTAATGTTTTTGTGCACCTTGTTCATTTTCTCATTTGAATGGGTTTGGGCTTCAAGTCCCAAACCAGACAGAAATATTGAATCTTGGCTGATTAAGGAAGAATGAATTAGAGGTTTGTGCAATCCTTTTGGCAAGATGTTGCGCACCTGAAAGGTTTAGTGTACTGTACTTTTAATTAATCAAGTCATGTAGCATGCATTTCTGGCCATAATTACCTAATGCGCCAGCTCCGCCATGGTACCACGATCAGGGACGTGCATCCCAGGTCATGGTGCAATCCATCCTTCTCCTCCGAAGGGGGATTTTATTAAATAACCGAAAATAACACTTGGGCTAAGGGTCAAGTTGGTAATTTTTCTTATATGGGCTTTGGATCGCAGTGGAATGCGATTTGGATCTCCAAAATGAAGTTCCACTTTCTGTTTACTTTTTCAAACTTCAGATACTTGCAAAGAACACTCTAATAAGGATAAAAGAGCATTGAGTTATTTAGTTTTGAATCGTTTCAACAAACAAAGGGCAGTAGAAATTGCAGCAGCAGGAGGAGGAACCGAAACAACAATTAGAGATTGGGATTGGGGTGGTTGGGAAGTGAGGCTAGATAATGATTATTGCCATAAATTAAGTTACCACATGAGGTTACAGTCCCTAGGGCAGAGGACCTTTTTTATTCTTTGAAATTCTCTCCCAAAAATATGGTGAGTAATTTAAAAGTGCAGCAATTTTCTTGGTACAGTAATATAATTTTTTTTAATTGTTACAAGAAGGGTATTATTTCAAACCTCACTGAAGTAAAACTCCCTCTTCACAATACTCAAAAAATAAATTATCATGACAATTAACAACGTGATGTACCAAAAAAAAAAAAAAGTAGTCACATGCAAGAATATTAAAATAATTGTGCTAGGAGTAAAATTTAATTCGTGAGAAGCCTAGCAACCCAAAAACGCACAATTCATGTACCGAGTGCAAAATAGCGTACCAACTAAATCCACCCTAGCATATTGTAATATAGTTAAGTGGCGTACTTCATATCCATATCTGTACTATGGCCTGAAACATACCATGTCCTAGGTAACTATGCTTTTGGTCTATTTTTACTCTCTAATTATGAATGCACGTATATCTGAAACTTTCCTGATTTCTAGTGGGAAAGTGAGGATATGGGCTGTGTTTAATTGTATGCCTATGATCAAGATCCAGTTACTATGCTTGAATCAACTGCATGGAATTAAGTTTATATAGAGGAAGTCTCTATTTTGTTCCTTTTTAGAAATATGTGTGGGAGTCGCCACACAGTGGCTAATGACTAACCAACTTTTATGTCGCTGAAAATGAAAATACAAATTTACCTGCTTTAATATGTAATCTTCCAATAACGAAGTTTGATAAAGCCAATCAATTGACAACCTTGATTGATTGTTAATATCTCCTAGCAACTATATGAAAGTTATGACATAAAATTTGAGAACTGTTGATAGAATATATTGTAATTGTATTTCTTGTATCTCATCAATCAATTACATAGGTCTATATATAAGGAATTCCTATCCTACCTAGCTATTTAGGAATACAAATCATAAATTAATTAGGAATCTAACTCCTAATAGAACTCTATTTACAACTAATCCGTAACACTTCCCCTCAAGTTGGAGCATAGATGTTAATCATGCTCAACTTGTTATAAACTACTACTTTCAGCAAAGCACAATACCATACTCAGCAACTGTACCCACTTCATTATAACTTCCCCTCAAGTTGGAGCATAGAGTTATCATGCCTCAGCATAGATGTTAATCATGCTCAACTTGTTATAAACTACTACTTTCAGCAAAGCACAATACCATACTCAGCAACTGTACCCACTTCATTATAGCAATGAAGAATCCCAAACCAAATAGTAGTAGCAGAATCAACACAACACACTTAGGTTGTCGAAACAAATCTCACTGAACCAGAAAACAACTCCTAGGGTTGTTTCAAGCTTCTTAATCAATGCTTCAAAGAGGAATCCCAGTAGCGCAAATATTCAGAAACGCAGCAAAGGAAAATCGAGCAAACGGAGCACGCCACCGAAGGCCAAGAACACTATGCAACTCACTGGGGCTGCACTGCTCTCGATAAAGGAGAAGGTTCAAAAGCAGAATACGCGTAACTGCAGCAAAGGTGCAGTACTAAACTCTAATGCAATAAGTAATCACTAGAAAATCACCGAAAATTACCTAAAACAATTGTCACAACAAAGGAAAAGATAGGCTTCCTCAGCAAATTAAAGCAACAACAGTAGCAGAATACTGTCCGACACTGCTGCAACAGAATCGCAGCAAACAAACCTATTGAATAAGCCCAAGAATAATGGTGCAACTCACTGGGTTGCACTTCTATCTTCAAGTCAACGCCGGAGAGAGGAACCGGAGTGAAAAAGACCATTGGACATGCGCCAGCGCATGGACCAAAGCAGGAAGAAAGAGGTGACGCGTGGGGACCATTCACTTGGAATCCGGCAACCGGATTCTGGGGAGGCGCTGATCAGCGGCCGGAGAATATCCTGAGGTCGGTGGTGAGGCAAAATACTAACTCTAGAAAGGCTTCCTAGGGTGGCAGTGGCTTCCCGTAAAGGAAGTTTTGGGTTTTTTTTTTTTTTTTTTTTTTTTGTTTTTTTTTTTTTTTTTTTTTTTTCAATTGGAAGGCCTCTTGATACCATGTTGATAGAATATATTGTAATTGTATTTTGTGTTGTATCTCATCAATCGATTTACATAAGTCTATATAGATAGAATTCCTATTCCTAACCTACTATTTAGGAATACAAATCATAAAACTAATTAGGAAGGAATTCCTATCCTACCTAGCTATTTAGGAATACAAATCATAAACTAATTAGGAATCTAACTCCTAATAGAACTCTATTTACAACTAATCCTTAACAAGAACTTTCAGGGATTCGTGGCCATGTAATTTTAGCTTAGACAACTGTAAGAAATTGCATAAATGTATTCATGTAAATGACCCCCATTGGAAGGATTCATCGCAGTCAATGTGGAATTTTCTGCTCACCCTTACTTCTAGTCATGATATTTTGTGGCATTGATACTCCTTTTGTCCAGAAATTTGTTCTGGGGAGGCTTCTGAAAATTTGTTACATTGAACTATCCATGACAAACTTGAAAATGCTCTCTAACATAATTAAGGAATTGTGTGGATGCTTAATTAGAAATCTTGTATTCCATCAGTCTAAATGATCCCAATGGGGAAAAGTGCTCTGCTTTGCATTTCTATTTGAGATGGGCAATTCTATGACACGTCATGCATGTTGAAATGCTATTGGGACTTGAAATTTGAAATTCATGATTCATGCTCATGTGCATGTACTGCTAGGATTTTTCTTGTATATGTTATAACACTCATTTGTTTCCTCTGCCTGATGTCTTGACTAGGAATGAAAATGGGTGGGATGGGACAGGTTTCACCATTCACATCCTTGCCTAGTTAGGAAATCAAGGCAACAGGGGGGGTTGGAAGAGTCTGTTTCATTTTTCTAATTTATCATTACTTGAAATTGGATTATTGTATGTTTTACTTAAATATAATATGCATGTTCATTAAATTTTGAAAGAGAAAAAAAAAAGAGAGGGAAAAGGGGGGTGGGGGGGGGGAGAGAATGACAACTTGAACTGATAAATGATATATTTATAAATAGTACATTAACATAAAGCAAATGCTAGCAGCCTAGTTGTCAAATATCTGTCTCATATTGTAGTGGATTAGGAGTTTCAAACCCTGAGAGTCCTTTCCTCTTAAAAGCTTCCCTTGTCCAAAAAAGGAAAAGATGAAACAGGTTGCCACATATTTATAGTAGTAAAATGATATTAGGAAATATACTGTTTAAAATTGAGATCAGATCAGAATGGGGTGAGGTTATCTGTTTCCTTTTGGATAAGGCAAGTAAAACCTGATGGGGTAAGGGGAAATTGTCATATCTCGTCTTGACTATGCCAAGGTCTAGGAATAACAAATGAACATTAATATCTTTCAAATAGCATCTTCCATAGGTTCAAATAGTTGTCTCTCTACATAACCACCATGGTCCCATGTATATGAAAGGAAATGAGGCTGTTATAATTGTCATGTAGCAGTTACATCTTGTTGCTACTGCTAAATAATTTGTCTTTTGCAAGTTATTGAGAAAATTTACTAAATGAATATATTAAGTTGATGTGAGTTTATTAAGATTAAGAAATGCAACTTGCTTATGAACATTCACACATCAAATAAAGACATCGAGTTCATAATATATATTCATTATTACCTGTGAACTGAAGTATTAACTTAAAACAGATTGTGGAAAGGCCCCCTGAATATACTCTTGAGATTTTTGCCTTGTTACGAAGTGAAATCATGTTAAAACATATGGAGTCAGAATATTCAAGGATTTAAATTTGAAGAAAGAGTGCAAATGGTGCTTGAGAAGTGGGGGATGTGGTGGAGATGGTTGCTGGAGCTGGGTGAAAAAAGTCCTGCTCCTTTGTACATGCAATAGCCCGATATTGATACACGATGGCTGTTACCACTGCAGAACTTTTTGGCCATCAACTATAAATTGTAACGGCAAAGGGACTCCAAAATCTGTTAAATAATGGCTGTGAAATTTTACATTGTAACTTATGTTATTTAAAACTTGGTATCTTGTAAAATAGAGCTATCTGCTTGAGAGATCATAGCAGAATAAATATTATTTACTCCTAATTCCTTCAAATTATGAGTAATGTTAACTCTTATTTACTGTTTGAATTATTTCTCTATACTGTTTAGATGTTTGGTGATTCTTGATTGATGTGAATTTGCTTTCTATGATGGGTCACTTTATTCATTGCAGTCATTGGAAGCAGAGATAACGCGCCTTAGTCATCTTCGTGATCGAGCTAGTGATATGGGTCACAGAAAGGAATATCCTTAGCTCTTGAAATTTTATCTTCAATTTTACCTCTTTAGTTCATTCAGTTGGTTTCTTAACTTATGCATCTATGCGTTTCGTGATCGAGCACGTATATTTTATGAGAAGATTTTTTTATAAGTAATAGAATGTTTCTCTTGTGTTGATCAGGGGAAACTGATGAGTCTTATTCTTCTTCATTATCATTATCAATGTGTGAGAAGTAATATCTGCTATCTTGTAAATTAAATTGTATTGTGTTCAAATCTCATACAGAAATATGAGATTCTACTCTGTTGGCTAATTTCTGGACTGCTAGGTGAAAGTGGAATTTGAGGACCTTTGAGCATGTGGAACCTTTTGTCCCATGTGTATAAGTGGTGGGCACACCTTTCATCCTTGGATAACTGGCTTTTCTTTCTTGATGGCCAGGAGCATGGATACTCTTAAAAGTATTTTAGCACTAGTTTATGTGACAGCATCTACCTTCATGTCTGTAGTTTTCTTTTTACTTATTGGAGGAAATGAACTTCTGATTCATTTAGAAAAATGAAGGATTACAAGATACTGCATTTGTAGCCAGATTTATCATGCAGGAAAGGATGTTACCTACAAAAAAAAAAAAAAAAAAAAAAAAAAAAGGAAAGGATGTTACCTACAAAAAAAAAAAAAAAAAAAAAAAAGAAAAAGATGATGACTTAAAAAAAAAAAAAAAAAAAAAAAAGAAAAAAAGATGGATGACTGTATGTGATACTGAAATCCCTGCTAAGTTGAAGGAATATTCTTTGGAAATGTGACTAGGCCTTTATTGAGTAGTGAAAGTGTGTGGGTCTTTAGCGAGTAGCATTTCCTGTCTGAGATTAAAATTTTATAAGGACATCTAGAAATGCTAGAAGGGACTAGAGGAGGAGTGATTGCAGGTGGAGCTGGCACCTATTGAGTATAAATTGTAAGAAATGTTTGAGATTGATTGGTGTTGTACCATCCAAGATGTCGATGCATCAACATGTAAGAGCAAGCGGATTTGAGTATTAGGAGCATAAGGTCAGGATGTAACCAAAAGCAATGTGGGCTGTAGTAAAAAAAGTTATTTAGCATCAAGGTGACCTATGAAAGTGGTCTTAAATTGAGCAGAAGGAAAAGATAATCTGAATATCTAATTTGAGATTAAAAAATTTCATGCAGAGTTCTGAACCTTATATGATAAGCCTGTATTGTTTGTTTAATGGACGGGTTTATTCTTTCAATTTTTGACGACAGCTCTTTTGTAAGTTATGAATGTAGCTACATCACTTGCACGTATGGTGATAACAGAGCTTTGCATAAAGTTAGAGTTGACAGGGTTCTTTGTCATGGCATCAGAGGAAGGTCTAGAGCATCCCTTTTTTTTTTTTTTTTTTTTTTTTTTTTTTGTTCAAAATGGGAAAGAAAGGTTTTTTTTTTTTTTTTTTTTTTTTTTTTTTTGTCAAAATGGGAAAGAAAGGGAAATTTAACTATTGAAATTAGATTAAAACCTTGTCTCTGTGTAGTTTTATTTGTTTTGTTCTTGTATATCTGCATTGGAGACAACCACTTTTATGCAGAAATAGTTCTAAAGCATTCCGAATTCCTTAACTTATGTTTCACGCTTAGAGAATGTGTAGAGAAATTGCAGCTTTTAAAGTCACCCGAGGAGCGCCAGCGCAGATTGGAAGAAATTCCAGAGATACATGCAGACCCAAATATGGATCCAAGTTATGAATCCGAAGAGGATGAAGGTGAAACAGACGATAAGAGACAAGGTCTTTACTGTCTCAAGCTTTTGCAAACTTAACCTATTTCTGAATGTTTGTTATACCTTTTCATCATTCCATTTTAACATTAGCTTTTGATGTTACAGAAAATTATGTGAGACCTGGAGGTAGTAGCTTTAACAGGAGGGGGAGAGAGCCAATTTCTCCTGGAAGAGGAAGTTTTTCTTCAAATGATTCCTGGGGTGGAGCTAGGAATTACTTGAGCACAAGTAAGGAGTTGAGCAGAAACTTGTCTAGTAAAGGTTTCTTGAGCAAAGGGGATGATGCTGCTGGAGTTGGTGAGACATTAAATGAGAACTTATGGACTCAAGGAAGAGAAAGAGAAAGAGAAACACAGCAATCACGAAGTTGGGAGAAGCCAAAATCTGCATTAAATTATGAAACTAAGGGTGCCCATTCTGTGCTATCATCAGAATCAGTTGCTAGCGTTAAACAGGATATTGCAATAATACCTTCCTCTGCAGGGGCAGCACAATCTGCAATCAAAGTTAATGAAACAGACAAGATATGGCATTACCAGGATCCATCCGGGAAAATCCAAGGACCATTTTCCATGGTGCAGCTTCGAAAATGGAGTAATACTGGATATTTCCCTGCTGATTTGAGAATATGGCGTACTACTGAGCAGCGAGATGACTCGATACTTCTGACTGATGCATTGGATGGAAATTTCCAGAGAGACACTCAGTTGGTGGACAACAGTTTCCTAAAAGGTCAACCACATCTATCATCCTCATATTCCACCAACGCAGGAGGTGGTGGGAAATCCCAACCTGAAACTAGTAATTCTACTGGCCGAGCTGCTCCGACTCTTGTCGAGGTTCCCAAGTACTCTGTAGATAAGTGGGGTTCTGAGACAAACCTCCCTTCCCCTACACCAGCTCAAGCTGCCTCAAGTGCAACAAAGGGTCAACCATATGAAAGCCAGTGGTCACCCACCCCGGCCGAACCTGCTGGTTCTCTCTCGGGGCCCAACCTACTTTCAGGTGGTAATGGAGAGTTGCAACGGCCTGTGGTAGTTATCCCTGAAAGCAGCCAATTGTCACATTCAACTCCATCACCAGCATCAACAAAATTGCTAAGTTCTGCAAATTCCTCTCTGGTACATTCCCAATCAACATTGGCTGGTGAATCACCAAGGATACAGGCCACTTCCCATCTGCTAAAGGCACCTGATTCTGGTGGTGTTTCAGTCAATGCTGTAGTTGATATGAAAAGTCTTCAGAACCTGGTTCAGCCTGTGGCTAATAATAGTTCTCTTGTTGGGACACAAGGATGGGGCGCTGTCTCAGTTTCAAAGTCAGAAATGAGTGCTCCACATGCGATGCCTGGTAGTGGTTCTCAGGTGTGGGGAAGTGCCCCGTCCCATAAGCTAGAGCCAAATAATTCAATTTCTATGTCCACTCAGCCTAGTGGTTATGGTAACTGGGGTGATACACAAACTTCTGTCCATAATTCTGCTTCATCCTTCATTGCAGGAAATACAGGCACAATGCCATCTGATCTTTGGAGAGGTCCAATACCCGCACAACCAAATATTCAACCTTCTGCTGCTTCCAATGTGCCATGGGGTATGAGTGTTACAGATAACCAAACTACAACTCCTAGACAAGTGCCAGAAAATCAAAATACTGGTTGGGGGCCAATTCCAGGAAATTCAAACATGGGCTGGGGAGGACCCGTACATGCAAATTCAAATCAAGGTTGGGTTGCATCTGGTCAGGCTCCACCTGCAAATGCAAACCCAGGTTGGGCTGCACATGGGCAAGTACAAGCACCTGGAAATGCAAATCCAGGTTGGGTTGCTCCTGTTCAGGGGCAAGCGGCAGGAAATGCATTTCCGGCTTGGATGCCACCTGGCCAAGGGCCAACCCCAGTAAATGCTAATCAAACTTGGGTTGCACCCGGCCAAGGTCAACCTCCTGGGAATGCAAATCCTAACTGGGCAGCAGCTTCTGTGAACATGGGCTCGTGGGGAAGTGAACAGAACCAAAATGGAGAGAGATTCTCAAGCCAAAGGAATACTTCTCAGGGTGGAGATTCTGGTTATGGTGGAGGTAAGCCATGGAATAAGCAGTCATCATTTGGTAGAGAAAGAGACTCTCCCAGGCCTAGAGAAAGAGACTCTTCCAGGCATAAAGAAAGAGAATCTTCTAGGCCTCCCTTCAAAGGGCAGAGAGTGTGCAAATACTATCATGAAAATGGGCATTGCAAAAAAGGAGCAGCATGTGATTATTTGCATACTTGAACTTTAGGAATTTTGAGCAGCATGGAGCAGTTAAATCTGTACAGTAATTTCATTTGCAAAAGGTTAGACATTACAAAATCTTCTTATGCTTTATACTTGTAAAATCCTGTGCAGTTTAGCGGCTTGTGACCCATTTTACAACCTTTGAATCATCTTCTTCCTTGAATGCCTGCCTTCTGATTTTGGTGACATAAAACTTAGCGCATAGGGATGGAAGTGTTGATGGACTGATGTAGTTGGATGCTTGGGATATATTGGAACAATCGTAGATTGATTGTTCATACACAAACCAGGTGGGGTTCTGTTTTATCCTGGTCAGGATAACCTTGTATGATTTAAAATGTTTTTGTTATATGGGCATGTAATAATGGCATAAGGCTTGGCAATCAGACTTTGTCTTTAAAAGTTGCTCTGCAGATTTAATCCCATAATTGCTTTGCTGATTGGTTCTGTTGTATGCAGGCTAATATTCTCTTGCAATAAGCTTAAATTCAACTTTGTGGTGTAAATGAGTATTCTTGGATTACACCAGATTAGCTTGCATAGTGTTCAAATTTGATTCTGTGTTTTAGTGCTTCAAGTTTTAACTTGCATAACAAGTTGAGCTGAGTTTTAAGAAAATAACGCTGTATTAGGAATTCTCATAGATTTCTTGGCATGTAATAATGGCATAAGGCTTGGCAATCAGACTTTGTCTTTAAAAGTTGCTCTGCAGATTTAATCCCATAATTGCTTTGCTGATTGGTTCTGTTGTATGCAGGCTAATATTCTCTTGCAATAAGCTTAAATTCAACTTTGTGGTGTAAATGAGTATTCTTGGATTACACCAGATTAGCTTGCATAGTGTTCAAATTTGATTCTGTGTTTTAGTGCTTCAAGTTTTAACTTGCATAACAAGTTGAGCTGAGTTTTAAGAAAATGATACCCAGTATAATTAAGTGTTAATTTCTTACATAACTCCAACTATTAATTTTGTGTTCAATATAAAAGAGAATAATTTGAAAAAAAAATTACAGATGTAAAAAGGAAAAAAAAAAAAAAAAAAAAAAAATGCTTTTTCTTTTTTAAATTTAAAAATAAACAATAAACCAAGTAATCAAGTAACCCACTCAAAACAATAAACCAAGTAATCAAGTAACTCACTGCTTTTCATTCCATTAGGCAATTCCCAGTCAAAACAATAAACCAAGTAACCCACAGTCAACTCCAATGCATACAACCCCAGTTGCAGACCCGGACATGACCTCCGACCCGACCCAAATGGAATAAACTTTGAACGAGCATTTGAGTTCTATTAATAAATGTTAGTTATATAAAAATTTAAATATATAATTAAATTTAAAAATCATTCAAATGAAATATTGGAACCTGCTTGAAGAAATTATTTTGGATAGTTGTGGCTTCATATTTTGAATTCCTTGCGATCTATTTTTGCAAGTCTAATCAAATTAAGTTGAATTTGACTAGCTAAAATTGAGCAGTTTATGAGTAATTTAATTTAAGTGACTTTTTTTTAGTCACACTTGAAAATTAATTCTCATATTAAATGATTTTTCTTTTATTCTTTACTTTCGACAACGGCTTAAATTTGACCAGAGTCTCGATAGTCTCTATTATCTATCTCCACGAGGAACGCAAGCGTAAAGAAACATCCCTAAGCGTTGTGGGCAAGAAACCGCATAATTTGCATGCTTCAATTTTTTTTCTTTTTTGTCTTTTTTATCTACCTTTCTTTTTTGTCTTATTTTTATCTACCCAGTAACTACCGTATCATTTTATCAACGAATACCAATTCTCCGCTTCTCCCCTCGCCTCGCCGACCTTTCTCTTTCTCTCGCCGACCTTTCTCTTTCTCACAGATCCTTTGATTTCTTGATTCTTGCTTCTACGGATTGATTGTGCTTATTTGATTGGTAATCCATATTTTGTGCGGGATTTAAGCTATGGCTATGTGTAAGCGCGTTGTTCAAATGAGGGACAGATTCGGCAGTTTATTTCACCAAGTTACGATCGATCAATTCATTTTCTAATTCTGTTTCTAACAGAGTCGAGTACAGACATTTATCACAACTCGTTAAACGTAATGGAAATCGTGCTTTCCTCGTAGATACATTGGCTTTGGTAAAATTTCAATTTCTGTTCCTTCTTATTTGATAAATTTATGTTTGGTTGATGAGAAAAGTTGCAGAAATCAAGAAGTTTGAAGTTATTGTTCTTTGCTTTTTTTCTTTTGGTTCAATTGGGAAAGGTGAGGGGTATGGAAGCTCAAGGTGTGCCATCGAAGCAGGCAGAGGCCATAACCGCCGCTATCACTGAAGTGTTAAATGATAGCCTGGAGAATGTGGCGCATTCTTTTGTTTCCAAGGAAGAAATGCAGAAGGTAAGGAACTCGGTTTTTTTTTTTTTGGTATAGATTTTATGTTTAGGTTTTCCATGAATGCTGTTTGATTTTGTTATTGTGAAATCAATAGTTTGTGTTTGTATGTGTTTTTAACTCTGTAGATTGTGATGGAACAAGCAGCAAAGTTGACAGAGTTCCAGTCTTACATGAAAAGTTCTCAGGTACTTTGATTTCTTCATAAGATTACTGTGCATGTAGTGATTTTAGATTTCCATGTTAGGTTATTTTCGTTTAGATTATTACTAGTGTTGGAGATCATGTTGATTACAGAGTCACAAATTTTCGGACTTCAATGTAGATTACATATGTTAAATTGGAACTTCATTTTAGGTGTAAAAATCATCTTTAGAAGGAATTCAGATATTGCCATAAGGGAAATATATATCAATTGTTTATTAATATTTTCTTTTTTGAGGTTGCAATCTCCCTTTCACCTTGTTATGCTACAATTTAAAAACATGTTCTCCTTGGTATTCCAAATCCTTTGTCCTTCACTTTTCTTCTCTAGGTTGTTTGGCTACTCATTGACATGCTTGGATCCGTGGAATCTTAACACCTGGAGTTTACTTGGCATGAGGATCTACATGATGGGTTTAATTGGTTATGCCTTTTTCGAGTGAGTTGAGCTATTCTATATCCAAGATCTCTTTACTCATGATTTTTTTGAACTGTCCACGATTGAGAGGATCGAGATATCCCTTTTTTTGCTTTTCAGCATTGGATGGAGAACATGATTATGTAGTAGTTAACTTACTTGCCAAGTATAGTTCTATTGGTGGCGGACTAGAAAGTTGAAGATGGTTTGTTATGCTTGGTTGGAAATAGATGGCTGCTGTCCCATATCTTGCTTTGGCTAGAAGCATATGTTGCCTGTTGCATGACGGTTAAACCTAAGGCCTCAAATAACACATGAATATTTATAAAAACGGGGTTTTCTTTTAGACGCCAACATTCTGTTGAGATTGGACTTTGCCATGGTTGCTGAATTCTAATCAGATCACTTGCCAATGTGAAGTGGTGGTTTTGCTTCAACTTGTCTGCGTAAGTTTGCAAATTACGAAAAATAAAAGGCTGATAGTTTTCAGCCTTAAATTGAATCCTTTCACAACTTTGTGGGCATTCTAGTGTGTCAGCTACTAAGAGGCTATGTAGACTTACATTCTACTTGTGCTATATGACCATTTATCTTAGATTTTTTTCTCGTAGCTTGCCGCCTTAGGGTGATGATTAATTCTCTGTCTTGGCACCTTAGCGTGTTATCAGTAGTGTTTCATGTTCATAAAACATGTGTGCTAGTTGTTTTAAAATTTCAAGTCGATTTTATTTGAAATTTCTATTTTGTCCATGCATCAGTTAAAACTATCAGCTGGATTTTAATTAAAACTGTTTTTTTAAAAAAAAAAGAAAACAAAATTCAATTGAACCAAACAATATTAAAGAACTGAACTGACATAACTTGTATGCATCGATCTGATCAGAAAATTTGGTTTTAACCGAGTGATGCTCACACGTATTCAGAAGAACACAAATGGTACCTGCTTGGTTTGGCTCTGATGCCCTCTCTAATTTCCTGGTTCTATCACTGAAAAGTGCAGATTGAGTTGTTTCTGCGGTCTTATCAACTAATGGATATTACCAAAGATTGCATTACAGTTGTGAGATGAGATTATGATAACAGAGCAATGTGCCTTCAACACATGAAAAATTAATATCGAACTACTGGAGGATTTGCAATAAACTACTGGAATATTTCGAGCTCTTTCTTGTGATCTGAAGGAAAAATAATATTGAACTAGAAAATGTCTGCTAAACACATAACATGATCAAATGCGAAGTCTTCTGAACATCCAACTTTGAGCTTTGGTTTTGTGTACTTGATTACTTCCCCAATTTACACCTCTCCCTCTAAACTCATTGAACATAGTGCAAAGTTGGGTTATTATCTTGAAGGTGATATTTTGGCCGCATAGATTGGATTGTCTCTTTGTCATTATTTGTGATTCCACCCTTCCTATTAGGTGATCTTTATTATTTCAGATCCTCTTCTGTTCTAAAACATGAGATTGGTTCTAGAATTGAAAATGACGTCCTTATGTTGCAACATTATAGCTTACTCAATTTAGTTATATTTACAAAGCAAACTAATAACTTTTCTTGACTATTGTCATTTCTGGGTGACAGAAAGTCCATTGAAACTGTGGGCCTTGTTTAAATTATTATGATTATCATAATGCAGGAGAATATTTTCTGTGTCATGCAACGTGAACTCGAAAATGCGGTGACATTTTTGAGCGCAGTGAATTAGGTATGTGTTAGCAAGTGTTTCTAATATCTGTTTGATATTTTTATTTCATTTTTATGAAATTGACATTTTTGTGCAGCGATCTGGATTTAAATCTTGAAACGAGGGTAAGGCCAATTGATGTTTTATGGTATAAGTGCATATCTGCCTCTGATGGTCCTCATTGTCGGATCTTGTTATTTGAGGCCTGCCACTGTATTATCCAGTTGATATCCAAATTGAAAATCTGTTCATCCAAGTCTATGTATATGGTTATCCAATGCAAGAATCTGATCTTATTGCATTTATAGAGTTATTACTTGATAAGGTTGCTACATCTTAAAATCTAATGTTGTGTAATTACACGGTGATGTGCACATTTAGGGTACTTTTTATTTCGTTTTTTTGTATAAACAGAAATTGGCTTTTGAGCTTCTTTCAAGGTATGTTTCTCTTAACATGGATTGATAATAGGCATTTTCACGCTGCTGACTGAATATTAATGGGGTTAAATGGTCTTCATGATGTGGTATATGCTGATGTCAGTGTGGATGATTTTGTTCGCATGATTGGGTGCACGCATCGTGATTGAAATACTAATCACGATGCGGAAACCACCAACCTTCCAACCTTACAAACAAGCTCGACCGGGTAAGCTTAATGATTTCAAGTGAAGAAAAGGTTCACTTTAGGTTTATCGAGCAATAGCGTTAATTCCTGAAACCTTTTTTTCCCCCAGGAAATTCATGCATTAAGAGCCCAGTTGGAAGCGGCAAAGTATGATGTGATTAAATACTGCATTGGTACCCTTGTCTCAATATCTGCAGTCGGGCTTGCTGTTCTCCGCATCTTGCTGTAATTTTTTGTTACTTTGGTAACTAATAGCTAAATTTCTGTAGGACTGTCAATTTCATTCTTTTTGGGCAACTATTTCCTGATAAAATCAAACAATATAATGTCATTATTTGTTAGTAGTTTTTTTGTAAAAAGTGGCAATACACACATAGTTAACAGTTCAGTATAATTTGGCTTTGTGCCATCATGCAACGGCAAAAGTAATGATTCTTGTGCTTTAGGAATATTTCTGTGATTTTGGAAGTAACTGCATGCTATAGCCTATAGCTATCCACATGATGTTTCAGTCCATGTGTCTTGGTCCACCATTGATGGTACAGGCAAGTTTTTCCCTTTTACTGAAATATTGTTGAAACGAGTTTTGAGTGGCTGTTCGTTCAGAATGATCCTACGCATGTATATGATGTTAGAATACATTCATTTAAATTCATTTGTCGGTTGGTCGGTAGCACGATGTCCCGAATAAATCCACATAAGATTGGAATTCATCGGTTTTAATAGTTTTTACTCTTTTTAAAGTATATAATCAATTTTGTACAATTGAAAATGTGAAATCTTTAAACTATTGAACACATATCAAATGATTAAAACATGTGAAAACCATTTTGGATTAGTTTGCATTGAAAAATGCAGGAATATAGGCCTATTTGACATGTAAATTTGTTTAGAAGGATTAAGAAGGGTAGATTTCACATTTTTTACTAATTTAACTTTTAAACTTATTTAAAATGATTAAAAATGCGATATTCGACCTCTTGAGATAATTTAACTTTGCGAATTTTCGTTGTATTTGTGATGTAACTTGAAAAAAAAAAAAAGGAAAAAGAAAAGCGCAATCAAAATGCCACCTTAAGAAAATTAAAATTTCATTGTACCTATCAATTTTCTTTACATGTTTATGGATATTTGGTGTTTAGATAACTATTAACAATATAGAAGAATCAGTTTTTGACATCTAACTATTAACAATATATATAACAAGTTGAGCTGAGTTTTAAGAAAATGATACCCAGTATAATTAAGTGTTAATTTCTTACATGACTCCAACTATTAATTTTGTGTTTAATATAAAAGAGAATAATTTGAAAAAAAATTTATAGATGTAACAACATTGGCATCTTTTTTCCCTCGGAAAAAAGAAAAAAGAAAAAAAAAATCATTACACATCCATATTGGCCCTTCGGAACTATTCTAATATTTCTAATTTTCATGACCTGCCAACAACATTGGTTTAAATTTTCTCTCTTTCGCTTTCCCATTTCTTTTTTTCTTATTTTTAAAAGAGGTTTCCGCTTTGAGAGCGATGTCTAGTGGATAGTTGAAGAATTCGTGACTTTGAGAAGAAGCGAATCACAGTCATCTAATGAGAGATTTCTTGCTTGCAAGAGGGAATGTAGATGCGGGCTTTTGGATCATTTTCATGTGCATTAATATATACTGTTATTAACATAATCCTTATCAGTCGGTAGTGCTATCAATGTAGACGTTAGGGACACCTCAGTAAAGTGACGAGAGCAGAGCTTTCAGGTAAGGGGATTAAAAATACAAGGACAAAGGGGACTACATCTAGACGAATAATCTACGTAGATCAAGATTATTGGACCTTATTAATAGAACTTAATATGTTGAAGAACCTCAGTAGTTAGCTATAATTTGAGATTAATTTTCTTCCATGACAAGTCAACAGAAGGTATTGTGAACGAACAAGGACACCAGTATAATTAAGTGTTAATTTCTTACATAACTCCAACTATTAATTTTGTGTTTAATATAAAAGAGAATAATTTGAAAAAAAATTTATAGATGTAACAACATTGGCATCTTTTTTCCCTCGGAAAAAAGAAAAAAAAAAAAAAAAAAACAATGGCATGCTTTTTCTTTTTTAAATTTAAAAATAAACAATAAACCAAGTAATCAAGTAACCCACTCAAAACAATAAACCAAGTAATCAAGTAACTCACTGCTTTTCATTCCATTAGGCAATTCCCAGTCAAAACAATAAACCAAGTAACCCACAGTCAACTCCAATGCATACAACCCCAGTTGCAGACCCGGACATGACCTCCGACCCGACCCAAATGGAATAAACTTTGAACGAGCATTTGAGTTCTATTAATAAATGTTAGTTATATAAAAATTTAAATATATAATTAAATTTAAAAATCATTCAAATGAAATATTGGAACCTGCTTGAAGAAATTATTTTGGATAGTTGTGGCTTCATATTTTGAATTCCTTGCGATCTATTTTTGCAAGTCTAATCAAATTAAGTTGAATTTGACTAGCTAAAATTGAGCAGTTTATGAGTAATTTAATTTAAGTGACTTTTTTTTAGTCACACTTGAAAATTAATTCTCATATTAAATGATTTTTCTTTTATTCTTTACTTTCGACAACGGCTTAAATTTGACCAGAGTCTCGATAGTCTCTATTATCTATCTCCACGAGGAACGCAAGCGTAAAGAAACATCCCTAAGCGTTGTGGGCAAGAAACCGCATAATTTGCATGCTTCAATTTTTTTTCTTTTTTGTCTTTTTTATCTACCTGGATAAATAATACTTATGTGTTTTCGTCTAAGAAATTATAAGTTTGTAAATCATAAAATATCAATTATTTTCATTTTACGTATTTAATAATTGATTATACTTTATAGATATTTTATCTTTTTATTTTTTTATTTTAAATGAATTGAATTATAAATTTTGACTTTGTTTATATATATTCAAGAAAACAAAATAAAAATATTATCTCTATATTTGCAAAGCATTTGCTCATATAAATCACTAAACTTGCAAATACCAAGAACCTCAAAAAGAAAGAGAGAGGGAGAGAGAGATTTTTGTACCATTATGAAGAGCTTAATGTTATCTCTAGTGAGCCTTAGGGTGGATGTGACTCAGAAAAACCAGTTTTCACATCTTCACTGTAGAAAGCCATTAATTCATCTACCATGTCTTCTTCTACGTCTTCCAATCTTTCATCATTTTTCTTCTTCCTTCTTCTCTCTATAATGTTCATCAATTATCGAATCAATGAACCCATCTAGAGCTTTTCGTGGCACAGAAAGCCTTTATTGAACTTTGAGCATGAATCCAAACCCAACCAATGGAAAAAAATCCGCAACATTAAAAGCTCCAAACAGTTTTTTTTGAAAACTCCTCAAGATTTTTTCATGAACTCATCTGACCTTCATGTGAAAATGAATTCCAAAAGCTGCCCTAAATACGTTATATTTCCTCGTAATGCAAAAACCAATTCACCAAACATTAACGCGGCCGAACCGGTTTTTTCCCCATCACGGTTTGGGATCATGGACGCCTACTTCCTCCTACGGATGCCCAAGCTCAGCCCGTTTTTCTACTAAAGAGCTTCAATAATACATAATTTTGGCGCATTTGACGCCAAATGGCCGTAGTTGGCCAAAGGCCATGTCGGCCCGGATCCATAAGTCCAAGTAGGTTTATTGCGAACGTTAGCCGACGGTTGGAGAAGACGCTATCTTGCGTTGGAGGACTTTCTCGGGCCATGTCGGGTGTCGAATACGGCAACGACTGAAGCCCACCCATTGAGTTTGGAAGAGGCCCCGCCGTATTGCTTAGCGGAAGACTCGCTAAACCCGCGGTGGGGTCCAGTTGGTCCATGATATTTCAATATTGCCGACAATTGGATACCCTTTGGGCCCGGAGGTATTGGTGTTTTCATGTGAGAGGCGAAGAAAAGAAATTAATGAAACAAATAAAGATAGAAGAATTTAGAAGAATGAAAGAGCAATGGTTGGAAGAGTTGAAGAGGATGAAAAGATAGTAAGGGAGTCTAGGAATTTGTAGGATATAGGATGTTTTTTATGAGGTTAAATAAAGTAGACTCTGTGGCTTGTGAGGTTAAATAGGCAATGAGTTTGGCGGTTCAAAAAAAAAAAAAAAAAATAAAATAAGTGGATTCTAACATAAAAGCTTGAATTTGTTTCTATGGAGAGCATATATATATATATATATATATAAAAGTAAATCTTTTATAAACGCTAAAAAAATAATATTAATATGGATAACTTTTGATTATATGTTCGTAACAATTTAAAAAGTTTGTTCAAATCAAAACGCTATATTACCCGAACGGTATAAAAATAGCATTTAGTCAAATTGATAAAATTACTTAAAAAATTATTGTGCATTAACTTTAATTTTAATCATATCGTCAGATGTCTTAAGGAGAAAATATTTTTTAAAAGTTTTTCTCTATCTATAAATATTAAATACTCGGATTTTTTGTCCACACGAAACACTTTTCCAACTCCGTTCAAACTCTCTCGTCTTCGAGATTACTTTTTTTTTTTCTTTTTTTTTTTCTTTTTTTAACGTTTTCGCAATTTGCTATAATTAACTCATTCAAGATTCTGCATCTGTGGATTCATTGATTGATTCGAAATTAATCACAAATTTTCCTGATTCCCTTCCTTTCCTTTCTTGGCCAATTTATGTAAGCCTTATTTGGCTTTTATTTATCATTTTGTTGGTAATCGAGCAATACAAGGTGACCAAAGTTTACTGCCCATATGTATGGTCTAAGACGTTTCCTTGCTTTCTTCGCTCAAGTTAACTGCCAAAATACAAGTGGGTTATTGTTTTTTACCAAAAAATAAAGTTTGATTTTTGAATTTTTAAAAATAATTAATTATATTTTTTTTAATGTTGTTTTTTTTTATCTTGAGGATTAACGGGTAATTTGATAAATTAGCTTTGACTTTATAATAAATTTAAAAAAGTTAATTGATTTCCTTAATTCTTTTTAATAAAAATCTTAAAACAACTTGTATAATTTTGAGAACGAACCTAATATTTTTAGATAGATGGAGTATTTGAGTATTATTTGACCTGGGGAACATTAAAACAATAACAATAAAAAATAAATTGAAAGGCATAGTCCTAGTAATAAAATTTATATTACGACCTAATAATAAAATTGAAAAAATATATAACCTAGAGATAAGAAATATATATATATATTATTATATACTGTAAGAGGAAAAATTGAGATCTTAAAAAAAAAAAAAAAAAAAATTTAAAAAAAAAAAAAAAAAAACCCATCAAATTTATGATTGACAAAAAAAATCTTTAAGAAGCTTAATTTTATTGTTTAAAAAAATGTTAATTTAATTTGTTGAAAAGATAAAAGAATAATTCCTTAATTGAATTGGATAGGATAACAATTCAAATTAAAATATCTTTCTTTGATTGAATTAATTATACCAATAAAGGAAATATATTGATTTAATTAGGAATATAATCTCAAGTAGGAATTTTAATATTTGTAACTGATTTTTAATTAGGTCAATAAATGAAAAATAATTAACTTTTTAGGACTATTAACTTGATTAGAAATATTAACTCAATAGGAATATTAAATATGAAATTAATTAAAAAAAATCAACTTATTTAAAATATTATTTTAACATATATGGTAAGAATGTAAATTAATTTCAAAGTATGTGTCTGTGTGTAATTTTTGTTCCATGTAGACTTTCGATGCTATATTTTCTCAAAATATTTGTTGAAATGTCTTTTTACCTCGATTTGGACTTCTTATATCAACGTCACCCTTAATTGCAGTTAAAAATGACAGTAAATATATATATATATAATATCCTATTAATATTGCATAAATTAAAATTTAATTTTATAATAAATATACTAATTAAAAATTTAGTAATTACTTACTAAAAAAATCCTCAAGCACGTATGGGATAAGAAATATTACGAGAAATTCATTTAAAATACTCTGAATTTTAAAATTATATCAATTATACCTCATTTTACCTTTAAATCTCCAAACACCCCAATTTAAAAGTTCTGTAATGATTACATCCCAATTGAAAATTATTATCTAAAAAATCAATAAACATTTTAAACATGGGTCCATGTCTAGCACTAGGGTTAAACTAACCCAACTCCAAACCTAAAAACAAAATGCACCGCCTCTATATGGAGGCTATGGCTACAGCACTCGGAATACCGATACTGATGCTTTTTAATTCTTACTTTGTTTCGTGACAACAATCCAATAAGTTTTCCAATAAGTTTCATCCACCAACTTGTCACTGGTCGACTCGACAAGCTTACTTCACAAAAAATCACAGATCCTTTGATTTCTTGATTTCTGCTTCTACGGATTGATTGTGCTTATTTGATTGGTAATCCATATTTTGTGCGGGATTTAAGCTATGGCTATGTGTAAGCGCGTTGTTCAAATGAGGGACAGATTTGGCAGTTTATTTCACCAAGTTACGATCGATCAATTCATTTTCTAATTCTGTTTCTAACAGAGTCGAGTACAGACATTTATCCCAACTCGTTAAACGTAATGGAAATCGTGCTTTTTTCGTAGATACATTGGCTTTGGTAAAATTCAGGTAAAATTTCAATTTCTGTTCCTTCTTATTTGATAAATTTATGTTTGGTTGATGAGAAAAGTTGCAGAAATCAAGAAGTTTGAAGTTATTGTTCTTTGCTTTTTTTCTTTTGGTTCAATTGGGAAAGGTGAGGGGTATGGAAGCTCAAGGTGTGCCATCGAAGCAGGCAGAGGCCATAACCGCCGCTATCACTGAAGTGTTAAATGATAGCCTGGAGAATGTGGCGCATTCTTTTGTTTCCAAGGAAGAAATGCAGAAGGTAAGGAACTCGGTTTTTTTTTTTTTGGTATAGATTTTATGTTTAGGTTTTCCATGAATTTAGGTTTTCCATGAAAGCTATTTGATTTTGTTATTGTGAAATCAATAGTTTGTGTTTGTATGTGTTTTTAACTCTGTAGAGTGTGATGGAACAAGCAGCAAAGTTGGCAGAGTTCCAGTCTTATATGAAAAGTTCACAGGTACTTTGATTTCTTCCTCAGATTACTGTGCATGTAGTGATTTTAGATTTCTATGTTAGGTTATTTTCGTTTAGATTATTACTAGTGTTGGAGATCATGTTGAATTACCATTACAGAGTATTTATAGTTGAAATCTCTTTAAAACTTGTGATTGATTGGTCTGAATCACAAATTTTCGGACTTCAATGTAGATTACGTATGTTAAATTGGAACTTCATTTTAGGTCTAAAAATCATCTTTAGAAGGAATTCAGATATTGCCATAAGGGAAATATATATCAGGTGTTTATTAATATTTTCTTTTTTGAGGTTGCAATCTCCCTTTCACCTTGTTATGCTACAACTTAAAAACATGTGCTCCTTGGTATTCCAAATCCTTTGTCCTTCATTTTTCTTCTCTAGGTTGTTTTCTCTAGGTTGTTTGGCTACTCATGCTTAGAATTGATTTCCATGGTACAACCCTGAAATGGTAGACTTATTAACACTTTATTCCCAATTGACATGCTTGTGGAAGTCCGTGGAATCTTAACACTTCAATACTTGGCAAATCACAAATGGTAATTGGTGTATGCCTAAGCCATTCGAGTGAGTTTGCGCTATTTCTTGATCCCAAAAGATCTCCTTACTCATGAAGTTGTGAATGAACGTGTCTTTGTATTTTGAACTGTCCACAAATTAGAGAGGAATAGAGATGAATCCCTTCTTTTCCATTGCTTGCTTAGTTTTTATTTGACATACAAAGCTCAAGGTGTTGCTTGGTGTTTCTGTGTCACTATCATCCTAGCATTGGATGAGCATTGGATGGAGAACATGATTATGTAGTAGTTAACTTACTTGCCAAGTATAGTTCTATTGGTGGCGGACTAGAAAGTTGAAGATGGTTTGTTATGCTTGGTTGGAAATAGATGGCTGCTGTCCCATATCTTGCTTTGGCTAGAAGCATATGTTGCCTGTTGCATGACGGTTAAACCTAAGGCCTCAAATAACACATGAATATTTATAAAAACGGGGTTTTCTTTTAGACGCCAACATTCTGTTGAGATTGGACTTTGCCATGGTTGCTGAATTCTAATCAGATCACTTGCCAATGTGAAGTGGTGGTTTTGCTTCAACTTGTCTGCGTAAGTTTGCAAATTACGAAAAATAAAAGGCTGATAGTTTTCAGCCTTAAATTGAATCCTTTCACAACTTTGTGGGCATTCTAGTGTGTCAGCTACTAAGAGGCTATGTAGACTATGTTAGACTAGGGAATGTTAAGATCTTGAAAATTTACTTTTACTTGCAAGAAACTGTTTACATTCTACTTGTGGCCTAGATGACCATTTATCTTAGTTTTGGAATTTGTATTAAATTTTGGTATGCACACCTTAAGGTATGATATTCTCTGTCTGGCACTTACATTTCATCAAGTAGTGATTTCAGGTCCCATAAAACATTGTGTCTAGCTATTCCAGTTTTTTAAAAAACTGTGACATTGATTTCATATGAAAATTTCTGTGATGTCCATTGCATCCAAAACTATCAGCTGGATTTTAAAACCGAGCTGAAAACTGATTTTTTTTAAAAAAAAAAAAAAAAAAATTCAAAGCGAACCAATCCAAATATTAAAATAACTGAACTGAATTAACTGTAATGCATTGATCTGGATCAGAAAATTTGGTTTTAACCGAGTGATGCTCACACGTATTCAGAAGAACACAAATGGTACCTGCTTGGTTTGGCTCTGATGCCCTCTCTAATTTCCTGGGTCTATCACTGAAAAGTGCAGATTGAGTTGTCTGATGCCCTCTCTAATTTCCTGGTTCTATCACTGAAAAGTGCAGATTGAGTTGTTTCTGCGGTCTTATCAACTAATGGATATTACCAAAGATTGCATTACAGTTAACAGAGCAATGTGCCTTCAACACATGAAAAATTAATATCGAACTACTGGAAGATTTGCAATAAACTACTGGAATATTTCTAGCTCTTTCTTGTGATCTGAAGCAAAAATAATATTGAACTAGAAAATGTCTGCTAAACACATAACATGATCAAATGCGAAGTCTTCTGAACATCCAACTTTGAGCTTTGGTTTTGTGTACTTGATTACTTCCCCAATTTGCACCTCTCCCTCTAAACTCATTGAACATAGTGCAAAGTTGGGTTATTATATTGAAGGTGATATTTTGGCAGCATAGATTGGATTGTCTCTTTGACATTATTCATTATTTGTGATTCCACATTATTTGTGATTCCACCCTTCCTATTAGGTGATCTTTATTATTTCAGATCCTCTTCTGTTCTAAAACATGAGATTGGTTCTAGAATTGAAAATGACGTCCTTATGTTGCAACATTATAGCGTGCCATATTTTATGCTGAATGCCATTTGAAGCTGAAGTAGTTTTAATTCATGCTTGATTTTATCCATTTCATGCATATTTTCCTCTGTTTCTCAATTTAAGTATATTTAAAAGCAAACAAAAAACTTTTCTTGTATGTCCATTTTGAGAAATCCTTGAAACTGTGGGCCTTATTGTATAAATTATTACTGAATTATCCATAATGCAGGAGAATCATGTTTCTGTGTTGCAACGTGAAACTGAAAAACTGCGGGGTGACATAGAAGAGATAGCGCAGTGTGAATTGAGAGCCCAGTTGGAAAGCAGCAAAAAGTATGATTGTGATTAAATACTGCGTTGGTAACCCTTGTCAATATCTGCAGTCTGATTGCTGTTCTCCGCATCTTGCTGTAAATTTTTTCTTTTTACTCTGGTAACTATACTAATTTACTGTTTTATAGGACTGTCAATTTCACTTTCTTTTGGGCAACATATTTTCCTGATAAAATCAAACAATATAATGTCAATTATTTGATAGCTAGTTTTTTTTTGTAAAAAAGTGGCAATACGTTTTTTTGTAAAAAGTGGCAATACACACATAGTTAACAGTTCAGTATAATTTGGCTTTGTGACATCATGCAACGGCAAAAGTAATGATTCTTGTGCTTCAGGAATATTTCTGTGATTTTGAAGTAACTGCATGCTATAGCTTATGGCTATCTACGTGATGTTTCAGTCCATGTGTCTTAGTCCACCACTGATGGTACATGCAAGTTTTTCCCTTTAACTGAAATATTGTCGAAACTCAGAGTTTTGAGTGGCTGTTCGTTCAGAATGATCCTACGCATGTATATGATGTTAGAATACATCCATTTAAATTCATTTTTTTTTTTTCTTTTTTCTTTTTTCCGAGGGAAAAAAGATGCCAATGTTGTTACATCTATAAATTTTTTTTCAAATTATTCTCTTTTATATTAAACACAAAATTAATAGTTGGAGTCATGTAAGAAATTAACACTTAATTATACTGGGTATCATTTTCTTAAAACTCAGCTCAACTTGTTATATATATTGTTAATAGTTAGATGTCAAAAACTGATTCTTCTATATTGTTAATAGTTATCTAAACACCAAATATCCATAAACATGTAAAGAAAATTGATAGGTACAATGAAATTTTAATTTTCTTAAGGTGGCATTTTGATTGCGCTTTTCTTTTTCCTTTTTTTTTTTTTCAAGTTACATCACAAATACAACGAAAATTCGCAAAGTTAAATTATCTCAAGAGGTCGAATATCGCATTTTTAATCATTTTAAATAAGTTTATATTAAAACCGATGAATTCCAATCTTATGTAGATTTATTCGGGACATCGTGCTACCGACCAACCGACAAATGAATTTAAATGGATGTATTCTAACATCATATACATGCGTAGGATCATTCTGAACGAACAGCCACTCAAAACTCTGAGTTTCGACAATATTTCAGTTAAAGGGAAAAACTTGCATGTACCATCAGTGGTGGACTAAGACACATGGACTGAAACATCACGTAGATAGCCATAAGCTATAGCATGCAGTTACTTCAAAATCACAGAAATATTCCTGAAGCACAAGAATCATTACTTTTGCCGTTGCATGATGTCACAAAGCCAAATTATACTGAACTGTTAACTATGTGTGTATTGCCACTTTTTACAAAAAAAGGAAAAACTTGCCTGTACCATCAATGGTGGACCAAGACACATGGACTGAAACATCATGTGGATAGCTATAGGCTATAGCATGCAGTTACTTCCAAAATCACAGAAATATTCCTAAAGCACAAGAATCATTACTTTTGCCGTTGCATGATGGCACAAAGCCAAATTATACTGAACTGTTAACTATGTGTGTATTGCCACTTTTTACAAAAAAACTACTAACAAATAATGACATTATATTGTTTGATTTTATCAGGAAATAGTTGCCCAAAAAGAATGAAATACAACTCAATCTGCACTTTTCAGTGATAGACCCAGGAAATTAGAGAGGGCATCAGAGCCAAACCAAGCAGGTACCATTTGTGTTCTTCTGAATAATAACAATGATAAAATAAATAATAATACTAAACAATAATAATGAAAATAAATAATTAATTGAATAATTAAATGAATGATAATGATAATAAATAAATAATTTATATTAACCTCCAAGCATGATTCAATGATATTATTCATTGCTCTATAACTATTTACTTGTCTAAGCCTTAAATTATAACTCCTCCTAACGATATTTATTAAAATTCCTAAATTAGCTTACATAAATATTAGCTAGGAATTCTTATCTCAATATCAAGCCTCCTAATTATAATTATAACTTTTGTAATTAATTTGACAATGTTCTAAACTAATTTGCAATTACATTATTCTAAAATCCTAAACCAATTAACTAATCATATTCGCTATCGCAATTACTGATAATAAATGAAATAGACAATATTTTCCTCAATATCTATTCTGCAGATTACAAGCCTATTTATATACATGAATTGCATCTATACTAGTCAAGCGTAGCTTAAAACCAAATTCACTTTGACAATTGTTCCTGAAGGTAAGGAGAGATTAGCCGTGATTTAATTTGATTGACAATTAGTCTCCATATTTAGCTAACTTGGACAATTAGTCTCCTTAATTTGCTCACTTTGACAATTAGTCTCCTTATGTTGCTCACTTTGACATCCCCCCTCAAATTGATGATGATTCTCAGCAAGCATCAATTTGCTCACTGATGATGATTCTCAGCAAGCGATCAAATCTGCTCACAAGATAGGAATGACGTGTAGATGACAGGTTAGTAAATAACATCAGCAAGTTGGTTATGAGAAAATTTACATGTTGTGAGATGGAATGAACTTGACCGAACCAAATCACGAACTGTAGTGGCAATCATGAATAATAAGAAATTAAGTTATTGGAATAGCTTAAATATATATAGAACATTTATAGTCTTTTGTAAATAAATTAGATTGGTTAGTATGCGGTAATTGTCAAAGTAAGCAACATAAAGAGACTAATTGTCAAAGTGAGCAAATTAAGGAGACTAATTGTCAAAGTTAGCTAAATACGGAGACTAATTGTCAATCAAATTAAATCACAGCTAATCTCTCCTTACCTTCAGGAACAATTGTCAAAGTGAATTTGGTTTTAAGCTACACTTGCCTAGTATAGATGCAATTCATGTATATAAATAGGCTTGTAATGTGCAAAATAGATATTGAGGAAAATATTGTTTATTTCATTTATTATCATGGTATCAGAGCTTGTATAATTTTTCCTCTCATCTTTGATTGTCCAATTGTTTTTTTTTTATTTTCAATTCAAATTCATAAAATGGAGGGAAGTCAGTCTGAATCCATTTCTGTTAAATTCAATGGGACCAACTTTGCTCTTTGGGAATTTCAATTTCGAATCTTTGTTGAAGGGAAAGGATACTCTGGTATTCTTGATGGATCTCAAAAGGAAGAAGGTACCACAGAAGCCAAGCTACAAAGGAAAACAAAAAAGGCTCAGGTTATCACTTGGATTCTAAATTCTGTGGAACCTAAAATCACACTCAGTCTCCGATCATTCAAAACTGTAGCAACAATGTGGAAACATCTTCAAGGAACTTATTCTCAAGTGGATCAATCAAGGCAATTTCAACTTGAATATGAAATTGCTAATATCAACCAAGAGGATAGAGATATTCGTGGCTTTTATATTGAAATTTTAAAGCTATGGACAGAACACGATATGATATCTTCTTGTGTTATTTCTGATATTGCATATTCTCCAAGAGCAGACTCCATACTCAAATTTCCTCGATTAATTAGCGTAGCCCTGACATTCTCAAATTCTGGTCGAAGTTTCATGAGGAATTGCATCACTCGTGCATGATCGCGTTCCGCCTTAATTTCTGAATATGCAATATCAGAAATAACACAAGAAGATATCATATCGTGTTCTGTCCATAGCTTTAAAATTTCAATATAAAAGCCACGAATATCTCTATCCTCTTGGTTGATATTAGCAATTTCATATTCAAGTTGAAATTGCCTTGATTGATCCACTTGAGAATAAGTTCCTTGAAGATGTTTCCACATTGTTGCTACAGTTTTGAATGATCGGAGACTTTTTTTTTTTTTTTTTTTTTTTTTTTTTTTGTCAAAATGGGAAAGAAAGGGAAATTTAACTATTGAAATTAGATTAAAACCTTGTCTCTGTGTAGTTTTATTTGTTTTGTTCTTGTATATCTGCATTGGAGACAACCACTTTTATGCAGAAATAGTTCTAAAGCATTCCGAATTCCTTAACTTATGTTTCACGCTTAGAGAATGTGTAGAGAAATTGCAGCTTTTAAAGTCACCCGAGGAGCGCCAGCGCAGATTGGAAGAAATTCCAGAGATACATGCAGACCCAAATATGGATCCAAGTTATGAATCCGAAGAGGATGAAGGTGAAACAGACGATAAGAGACAAGGTCTTTACTGTCTCAAGCTTTTGCAAACTTAACCTATTTCTGAATGTTTGTTATACCTTTTCATCATTCCATTTTAACATTAGCTTTTGATGTTACAGAAAATTATGTGAGACCTGGAGGTAGTAGCTTTAACAGGAGGGGGAGAGAGCCAATTTCTCCTGGAAGAGGAAGTTTTTCTTCAAATGATTCCTGGGGTGGAGCTAGGAATTACTTGAGCACAAGTAAGGAGTTGAGCAGAAACTTGTCTAGTAAAGGTTTCTTGAGCAAAGGGGATGATGCTGCTGGAGTTGGTGAGACATTAAATGAGAACTTATGGACTCAAGGAAGAGAAAGAGAAAGAGAAACACAGCAATCACGAAGTTGGGAGAAGCCAAAATCTGCATTAAATTATGAAACTAAGGGTGCCCATTCTGTGCTATCATCAGAATCAGTTGCTAGCGTTAAACAGGATATTGCAATAATACCTTCCTCTGCAGGGGCAGCACAATCTGCAATCAAAGTTAATGAAACAGACAAGATATGGCATTACCAGGATCCATCCGGGAAAATCCAAGGACCATTTTCCATGGTGCAGCTTCGAAAATGGAGTAATACTGGATATTTCCCTGCTGATTTGAGAATATGGCGTACTACTGAGCAGCGAGATGACTCGATACTTCTGACTGATGCATTGGATGGAAATTTCCAGAGAGACACTCAGTTGGTGGACAACAGTTTCCTAAAAGGTCAACCACATCTATCATCCTCATATTCCACCAACGCAGGAGGTGGTGGGAAATCCCAACCTGAAACTAGTAATTCTACTGGCCGAGCTGCTCCGACTCTTGTCGAGGTTCCCAAGTACTCTGTAGATAAGTGGGGTTCTGAGACAAACCTCCCTTCCCCTACACCAGCTCAAGCTGCCTCAAGTGCAACAAAGGGTCAACCATATGAAAGCCAGTGGTCACCCACCCCGGCCGAACCTGCTGGTTCTCTCTCGGGGCCCAACCTACTTTCAGGTGGTAATGGAGAGTTGCAACGGCCTGTGGTAGTTATCCCTGAAAGCAGCCAATTGTCACATTCAACTCCATCACCAGCATCAACAAAATTGCTAAGTTCTGCAAATTCCTCTCTGGTACATTCCCAATCAACATTGGCTGGTGAATCACCAAGGATACAGGCCACTTCCCATCTGCTAAAGGCACCTGATTCTGGTGGTGTTTCAGTCAATGCTGTAGTTGATATGAAAAGTCTTCAGAACCTGGTTCAGCCTGTGGCTAATAATAGTTCTCTTGTTGGGACACAAGGATGGGGCGCTGTCTCAGTTTCAAAGTCAGAAATGAGTGCTCCACATGCGATGCCTGGTAGTGGTTCTCAGGTGTGGGGAAGTGCCCCGTCCCATAAGCTAGAGCCAAATAATTCAATTTCTATGTCCACTCAGCCTAGTGGTTATGGTAACTGGGGTGATACACAAACTTCTGTCCATAATTCTGCTTCATCCTTCATTGCAGGAAATACAGGCACAATGCCATCTGATCTTTGGAGAGGTCCAATACCCGCACAACCAAATATTCAACCTTCTGCTGCTTCCAATGTGCCATGGGGTATGAGTGTTACAGATAACCAAACTACAACTCCTAGACAAGTGCCAGAAAATCAAAATACTGGTTGGGGGCCAATTCCAGGAAATTCAAACATGGGCTGGGGAGGACCCGTACATGCAAATTCAAATCAAGGTTGGGTTGCATCTGGTCAGGCTCCACCTGCAAATGCAAACCCAGGTTGGGCTGCACATGGGCAAGTACAAGCACCTGGAAATGCAAATCCAGGTTGGGTTGCTCCTGTTCAGGGGCAAGCGGCAGGAAATGCATTTCCGGCTTGGATGCCACCTGGCCAAGGGCCAACCCCAGTAAATGCTAATCAAACTTGGGTTGCACCCGGCCAAGGTCAACCTCCTGGGAATGCAAATCCTAACTGGGCAGCAGCTTCTGTGAACATGGGCTCGTGGGGAAGTGAACAGAACCAAAATGGAGAGAGATTCTCAAGCCAAAGGAATACTTCTCAGGGTGGAGATTCTGGTTATGGTGGAGGTAAGCCATGGAATAAGCAGTCATCATTTGGTAGAGAAAGAGACTCTCCCAGGCCTAGAGAAAGAGACTCTTCCAGGCATAAAGAAAGAGAATCTTCTAGGCCTCCCTTCAAAGGGCAGAGAGTGTGCAAATACTATCATGAAAATGGGCATTGCAAAAAAGGAGCAGCATGTGATTATTTGCATACTTGAACTTTAGGAATTTTGAGCAGCATGGAGCAGTTAAATCTGTACAGTAATTTCATTTGCAAAAGGTTAGACATTACAAAATCTTCTTATGCTTTATACTTGTAAAATCCTGTGCAGTTTAGCGGCTTGTGACCCATTTTACAACCTTTGAATCATCTTCTTCCTTGAATGCCTGCCTTCTGATTTTGGTGACATAAAACTTAGCGCATAGGGATGGAAGTGTTGATGGACTGATGTAGTTGGATGCTTGGGATATATTGGAACAATCGTAGATTGATTGTTCATACACAAACCAGGTGGGGTTCTGTTTTATCCTGGTCAGGATAACCTTGTATGATTTAAAATGTTTTTGTTATATGGGCATGTAATAATGGCATAAGGCGGCATGTAATAATGGCATAAGGCTTGGCAATCAGACTTTGTCTTTAAAAGTTGCTCTGCAGATTTAATCCCATAATTGCTTTGCTGATTGGTTCTGTTGTATGCAGGCTAATATTCTCTTGCAATAAGCTTAAATTCAACTTTGTGGTGTAAATGAGTATTCTTGGATTACACCAGATTAGCTTGCATAGTGTTCAAATTTGATTCTGTGTTTTAGTGCTTCAAGTTTTAACTTGCATAACAAGTTGAGCTGAGTTTTAAGAAAATGATACCCAGTATAATTAAGTGTTAATTTCTTACATAACTCCAACTATTAATTTTGTGTTTAATATAAAAGAGAATAATTTGAAAAAAAATTACAAATATTTTAATTTTTAAGCTCATATGGATATTTAAAATATTCAAATTCGGTTTAAAAAATAAATAAAATTATTTAATAATGTTTTTTTTTTAGTTAAACCCAATCAGATATTAACTCCTTAAGAATAGCCACACTAACATAAATCTGCTGCCTTAAGCCATTAGTAAGTACTTGAAATGAAGTTTGAAACTCTGAATGAGCATTTGAGTTCTATTAATAAATGTTAGTTATATAAAAATTTAAATATATAATTAAATTTAAAAATCATTCAAATCAAATATTGTGAACCCTACTTGAAGAAATCCTTTTGGATAGTTGTTGCTCCATATTTTGAACCTACTTGAAGAAATCCTTTTGGATAGTTGTTGCTCCATATTTTGAACTCCTTGCAATCTATTTTTGCAAGTTCAATCAAATTAAATTGAATTTGACTAGCCAAAATTGAGCAGATTATGAGTAATTTAATATAAGTGACTTTTTTTTAGTCACACTTGAAAATTAATTCTCATATTAAATGATTTTTCTTTTATTCTTTACTTTCAACAACGGCTTAAATTTGACCAATGAACAGATATTAGACTATATATTTACAGTAATAATACAAATAATTTAATTTCTAGAATTATAAAAAAAAATGGGAAAGAAGAGAGTGAAAGGTGGGGATGAATGTAGAGGATTGTGGCAGTGGGATAGAGAATGGAGGGCCAGAAAGACAAAAAAGACCAGCTCTTGTAGGGTTATAACTACAGGGATATAGGTTGGGGGTTTTCAAGAACCTGTTCTATCTTTCACTCTCAGAAATCTCAAACACACAAAATATTATATATAAATAAAGTCATTGCAGACACTCACATACAATACACTCGCCGACCTTTCTCTTTCTCACAGATCCTTTGATTTCTTGATTCTTGCTTCTACGGATTGATTGTGCTTATTTGATTGGTAATCCATATTTTGTGCGGGATTTAAGCTATGGCTATGTGTAAGCGCGTTGTTCAAATGAGGGACAGATTCGGCAGTTTATTTCACCAAGTTACGATCGATCAATTCATTTTCTAATTCTGTTTCTAACAGAGTCGAGTACAGACATTTATCACAACTCGTTAAACGTAATGGAAATCGTGCTTTCCTCGTAGATACATTGGCTTTGGTAAAATTTCAATTTCTGTTCCTTCTTATTTGATAAATTTATGTTTGGTTGATGAGAAAAGTTGCAGAAATCAAGAAGTTTGAAGTTATTGTTCTTTGCTTTTTTTCTTTTGGTTCAATTGGGAAAGGTGAGGGGTATGGAAGCTCAAGGTGTGCCATCGAAGCAGGCAGAGGCCATAACCGCCGCTATCACTGAAGTGTTAAATGATAGCCTGGAGAATGTGGCGCATTCTTTTGTTTTTAGGTTTTCCATGAAAGCTATTTGATTTTGTTATTGTGAAATCAATAGTTTGTGTTTGTATGTGTTTTTAACTCTGTAGAGTGTGATGGAACAAGCAGCAAAGTTGGCAGAGTTCCAGTCTTATATGAAAAGTTCACAGGTACTTTGATTTCTTCCTCAGATTACTGTGCATGTAGTGATTTTAGATTTCTATGTTAGGTTATTTTCGTTTAGATTATTACTAGTGTTGGAGATCATGTTGAATTACCATTACAGAGTATTTATAGTTGAAATCTCTTTAAAACTTGTGATTGATTGGTCTGAATCACAAATTTTCGGACTTCAATGTAGATTACGTATGTTAAATTGGAACTTCATTTTAGGTCTAAAAATCATCTTTAGAAGGAATTCAGATATTGCCATAAGGGAAATATATATCAGGTGTTTATTAATATTTTCTTTTTTGAGGTTGCAATCTCCCTTTCACCTTGTTATGCTACAACTTAAAAACATGTGCTCCTTGGTATTCCAAATCCTTTGTCCTTCATTTTTCTTCTCTAGGTTGTTTGGCTACTCATGCTTAGAATTGATTTCCATGGTACAACCCTGAAATGGTAGACTTATTAACACTTTTTTCCCAATTGACATGCTTTTGGAAGTCCGTGGAATCTTAACACTTCAATACTTGGCAAATCACAAATGGTAATTGATGTATGCCTAAGCCACATTTGAGTGAGTTTGCGCTATTTCTTGATCCCGAAAGATCTCCTTACTCATGAAGTTATGAATGAACGTGTCTTTCTATTTTGAACTGTCCACAAATTAGAGAGGAATAGAGATGAATCCCTTCTTTTCCATTGTTTGCTTAGTTTTTATTTGACATACAAAGCTCAAGGTGTTGCTTGGTGTTTCTCTGTCACTATCATCCTAGCATTGGATGAGCATTGGATGGAGAACATGATTATGTAGTAGTTAACTTACTTGCCAAGTATAGTTCTATTGGTGGCGGACTAGAAAGTTGAAGATGGTTTGTTATGCTTGGTTGGAAATAGATGGCTGCTGTCCCATATCTTGCTTTGGCTAGAAGCATATGTTGCCTGTTGCATGACGGTTAAACCTAAGGCCTCAAATAACACATGAATATTTATAAAAACGGGGTTTTCTTTTAGACGCCAACATTCTGTTGAGATTGGACTTTGCCATGGTTGCTGAATTCTAATCAGATCACTTGCCAATGTGAAGTGGTGGTTTTGCTTCAACTTGTCTGCGTAAGTTTGCAAATTACGAAAAATAAAAGGCTGATAGTTTTCAGAGGCTGATAGTTTTCAGCCTTAAATTGAATCCTTTCACAACTTTGTGGGCATTCTAGTGTGTCAGCTACTAAGAGGCTATGTAGACTAGGGATGGTTAAGATCTTGAAAATTACTTTTCCTTGCAGAAACTGTTACATTCTACTTGTGGCCTATATATGACCATTTATCTTAGTTTTGGAATTTCTTATTAAATTTTGGTATGCACGCCTTAAGGTATGATATTCTCTGTCTGGCACTTACATTTCATCAAGTAGTGATTTCAGGTCCCATAAAACATTGTGGCTAGCTATTCCAGTTTTTTAAAAAACTGTAACATCGATTTTATTTGAAAATTTCTGTGATGTCCATTGCATCCAAAACTATCAGCTGGATTTTAAAACTGAACTGAAAACTGATTTTTTTTTTAAAAAAAGAAAAAAAAATTTCAAATTGAACCAAACCAAATATTAAAACAACTGAACTGAATTAACTGTAATGCATCGATCTGGTTCAGAAAATTTGGTTTTAACCGAGTGATGCTCACACGTATTCAGAAGAACACAAATGGTACCTGCTTGGTTTGGCTCTGATGCCCTCTCTAATTTCCTGGCTAATTTCCTGGATTCTATCCTGAAAGTGCCCAGATTGGACGTTGTTCTACAGGTCTGATCAACTAAATGGATATTTACCAAATTGCATTACAGTTTGTGAGCATTGAGATTATGACTTAACAGCAGCAATGTGCCTTAAACACATGAAAAATTAATAAAATCCGAACTACTGGAAGATTTGGCAATAAACTACAGGAATATTTCCAGCTCTTTCTCTGTGAATCTGAAAAGAAAAAATAAGTATGAACTACGAAAATGTACTGCTAAACAATAACTGATCACAATGCGAGTTCTTCTGAACAACCAACTTTTGAGCTTTGGTTTGTGTTACTTGATTACTCCTAATTTACACCTCTCCCTCTTAAACTCATTAACATTAAGTGCAAAGTTGGGTTATTATATTGAAGGTGATATTTTGGCTGCATAGCATTGATTTTGTCTCTTTTGACATTTATTTGTGATTCCACCCCTTCCTATCAGGTGATCTTTATTATTTCAGATCCTCTTCTGTTCTAAACATGAGATTGGTTCTAGAATTGAAATGACGTCCTTATGTTTGCAACCATTTATAGCATGCCATATTTTTATTGCTGAATTGGCCATTTTAAGCTGAAGTAGTTTTTAATTCATGCTTGATTTTTATCATTTCATGCATTATTTTTCCTCTGTTTTTCTCAATTTAAGTATAATTTAAAAAGCAACAAAAAAACTTTTCTATTGCATGTCCATTCGGAGAAATCTTGAAACTTGGCCTTATTGTATAAATTATATATAATTATCCATAATGCAGGGAATCATGTCTGTGTTGCAACTGAAACTGAAAAATGCGGCGGTCGGGTGACATAGAGAGATTGCCGCAGTGAATTGAGGGTATGTGTTAGCAAGTAGCTTTTCTAATATCTGCTTGATATTTTATATTTTTCACCAGTTGCTTTCTTGAAACAGGTATGAAATTGGACAAGGTCAACGGCGGGCAGCGATTGGATTTAAATCTGAAAGAGGTAAGGAATTAGACTGTTGTATGTATAAGTTGCCATAATCTGCACTCAAGATGGTCCTTGTCGTTCCAGCTTATTGAGCTCCTGCCCACTGGATTAAATCCAGGAAACAATGAACCCCAATTGAAATCAAATTGAAAATCTGTTCATCCAAGTCTATGTATATGGTTATCCAATGCAAGAATCTGATCTTATTGCATTTATAGAGTTATTACTTGATAAGGTTGCTACATCTTAAAATCTAATGTTGTGTAATTACACGGTGATGTGCACATTTAGGGTACTTTTTATTTCGTTTTTTTGTATAAACAGAAATTGGCTTTTGAGCTTCTTTCAAGGTATGTTTCTCTTAACATGGATTGATAATAGGCATTTTCACGCTGCTGACTGAATATTAATGGGGTTAAATGGTCTTCATGATGTGGTATATGCTGATGTCAGTGTGGATGATTTTGTTCGCATGATTGGGTGCATGGGTGCAGGCGCAATACGTGCATTGAACAGTAATCAGAATGCGGAAAACCACCACCTTACAAACACCAACCTTACAAACAAGCTCGACCGGGTAAGCTTAATGATTTCAAGTGAAGAAAAGGTTCACTTTAGGTTTATCGAGCAATAGCGTTAATTCCTGAAACCTTTTTTTCCCCCAGGAAATTCATGCATTAAGAGCCCAGTTGGAAGCGGCAAAGTATGATGTGATTAAATACTGCATTGGTACCCTTGTCTCAATATCTGCAGTCGGGCTTGCTGTTCTCCGCATCTTGCTGTAATTTTTTGTTACTTTGGTAACTAATAGCTAAATTTCTGTAGGACTGTCAATTTCATTCTTTTTGGGCAACTATTTCCTGATAAAATCAAACAATATAATGTCATTATTTGTTAGTAGTTTTTTTGTAAAAAGTGGCAATACACACATAGTTAACAGTTCAGTATAATTTGGCTTTGTGCCATCATGCAACGGCAAAAGTAATGATTCTTGTGCTTTAGGAATATTTCTGTGATTTTGGAAGTAACTGCATGCTATAGCCTATAGCTATCCACATGATGTTTCAGTCCATGTGTCTTGGTCCACCATTGATGGTACAGGCAAGTTTTTCCCTTTTACTGAAATATTGTTGAAACGAGTTTTGAGTGGCTGTTCGTTCAGAATGATCCTACGCATGTATATGATGTTAGAATACATTCATTTAAATTCATTTGTCGGTTGGTCGGTAGCACGATGTCCCGAATAAATCCACATAAGATTGGAATTCATCGGTTTTAATAGTTTTTACTCTTTTTAAAGTATATAATCAATTTTGTACAATTGAAAATGTGAAATCTTTAAACTATTGAACACATATCAAATGATTAAAACATGTGAAAACCATTTTGGATTAGTTTGCATTGAAAAATGCAGGAATATAGGCCTATTTGACATGTAAATTTGTTTAGAAGGATTAAGAAGGGTAGATTTCACATTTTTTACTAATTTAACTTTTAAACTTATTTAAAATGATTAAAAATGCGATATTCGACCTCTTGAGATAATTTAACTTTGCGAATTTTCGTTGTATTTGTGATGTAACTTGAAAAAAAAAAAAAGGAAAAAGAAAAGCGCAATCAAAATGCCACCTTAAGAAAATTAAAATTTCATTGTACCTATCAATTTTCTTTACATGTTTATGGATATTTGGTGTTTAGATAACTATTAACAATATAGAAGAATCAGTTTTTGACATCTAACTATTAACAATATATATAACAAGTTGAGCTGAGTTTTAAGAAAATGATACCCAGTATAATTAAGTGTTAATTTCTTACATGACTCCAACTATTAATTTTGTGTTTAATATAAAAGAGAATAATTTGAAAAAAAATTTATAGATGTAACAACATTGGCATCTTTTTTCCCTCGGAAAAAAGAAAAAAGAAAAAAAAAACAAACAATCTTATATCCTCTTAGTTCCAACTACCTCTTTTGTTCCCCTGTAATAACAAATTTTGCACGTTTATCCTCTTTATATCGTAAGGCCAATGCTTTTCTATTCTATATTATCATTACAACATCCTATATTGCCCCTTCCGGCCAACTATTCCTTAATAATTTTCTAATTTTATGACGCCAAACAACATTCGAAGTTTAATTTTCCTCTCTTTTTTCCCATTTCTTTTTTTTCTATTTTTAAAAGAGAGTTTCCGGCTTTATTGAGAGAGATGTCTGTGGATTAGTTGAAGAAATATCTGTTTGTGAGAAAAAAAGAAGCTGAATCACAGTCATTCTAATGAGAGATTCTTGCTTTGCAAGAAGCTGAATGTGATTGCGCGGGACTTTGGATCATTTTCATGTGCATTAATATAAATTTACTGTATATTACATCATCCATTACTAGTTGCGGTAGTGCCTCAATCAAATGATAAGACACGTTAGGGAACACTCAGTAAGTGAGAGGCAGAGCTTTCAGGGAAAGGGGAAAATAAAAAAGGGACAAGTGAACTACATTTCCTTGACGAATTTTCTTACCAGTAAGATCAGATATTATTCGAGACCAATATTAATAGAAATTATATGTGAAGAATCATAGTAGTTTAGCTATAATTTAGAGATTAATTATTTCTTCCATGGACAGTCAACAGAAGTAATTTTGAACTAAAAAGACTAAAATATTTAACGCTTTAAAATAATCTGCCAATCAGTACCAGTATAATTAAGTGTTAATTTCTTACATAACTCCAACTATTAATTTTGTGTTTAATATAAAAGAGAATAATTTGAAAAAAAATTTATAGATGTAACAACATTGGCATCTTTTTTCCCTCGGAAAAAAGAAAAAAAAAAAAAAAAAAACAATGGCATGCTTTTTCTTTTTTAAATTTAAAAATAAACAATAAACCAAGTAATCAAGTAACCCACTCAAAACAATAAACCAAGTAATCAAGTAACTCACTGCTTTTCATTCCATTAGGCAATTCCCAGTCAAAACAATAAACCAAGTAACCCACAGTCAACTCCAATGCATACAACCCCAGTTGCAGACCCGGACATGACCTCCGACCCGACCCAAATGGAATAAACTTTGAACGAGCATTTGAGTTCTATTAATAAATGTTAGTTATATAAAAATTTAAATATATAATTAAATTTAAAAATCATTCAAATGAAATATTGGAACCTGCTTGAAGAAATTATTTTGGATAGTTGTGGCTTCATATTTTGAATTCCTTGCGATCTATTTTTGCAAGTCTAATCAAATTAAGTTGAATTTGACTAGCTAAAATTGAGCAGTTTATGAGTAATTTAATTTAAGTGACTTTTTTTTAGTCACACTTGAAAATTAATTCTCATATTAAATGATTTTTCTTTTATTCTTTACTTTCGACAACGGCTTAAATTTGACCAGAGTCTCGATAGTCTCTATTATCTATCTCCACGAGGAACGCAAGCGTAAAGAAACATCCCTAAGCGTTGTGGGCAAGAAACCGCATAATTTGCATGCTTCAATTTTTTTTCTTTTTTGTCTTTTTTATCTACCATCTTATGTGTTTTCGTCTAAGAAAAATTATAAGTGTAAATTCATAAAATACATTATTTTCATTTTACGTCATTAATAATTGAATATAACTTTATAGATATTTTTATCTTTTATTTTTTTATTTAATAATTGAATTATAATTTTGGACCTTTGTTTATATATTTCTTCAAGAAAACAATAAATATATCTCGTATATTCGCAAGCTTTGTCAATAAACCCTAACTGCAATACCAGACTTCAAAAGAGAAAGAAGAGGGGGAGAGAGAGATTTATTGTTACCATTATGAGAGCTTTAATGTTATCTCCTAGTGAGCCTTAGGTGGAATTGTGACTCAGAAAAAACCAGTTTTCACATCTTCAACTGTAGAAAAGCCATTAAATTCATCTACCATGGTCCTTCTTCTACGTCCTTCATCTTCATCAAATTTTTCTTTCTTCTTCTTCCTTCTCTAATATGTTCATCAAATTATCGAATCAATGACCCATCTAGAGCTTTTCGTGCCACAGGAAAGGCCTTTTTATTGAACTTTTGAGCATGAATCCAACCCAACCATGGAAAAAAATCCGCAACCATTAAAAGCTCCAAAACAGTTTTTGAAAACTCCTGCAAATTTTCATGAACTATCTTGACCTTCATGTTGAAAATGATCCAAAAGCTGCCCTATACGTGATTATTCCATCGTTAATGCAAAAACCAATTCACCAACATTAACGCGAACCGGTTTTTTTTCATCCACGGTTTGGATCATGGACCCCTACTTCCCTCTCTTCGGCATGCCCAAGACTCAGCCCGTTTTCTACTAAAGAAGCTTCATAATTACATATTTTGCGCATTTTGACGCCAAAAATGGGCCGTTGTTTGGCAAAGGCCACTGTCGGCCCGTCATAAGTCAAGTAGGTTATTGCGACGTTAGCCGCGACGTTGGAGAAGACGCTATCTTGCGCTTGGAGGACTTCTCGGCCATTGTCGGTGTCGATAACGGCAAACGACATGAAGCCCACCATTGGAGGTGGAAGAAGGCCGCCGTTATTGCTTAGCGAGACTCGCTAACCCGCGGTGGGTTCAGTTGTCCATGTATTCATATGCCGGACAATTGGATACCCTTTTGGGCGCGGTATTTGTTTCATGTGAGAGCGAAGGAAAGAAAATTATGGAAACCAAATAAAGATAGAAGAATTAGAAGAATGAGAGCCCATGCGTTGGAGGAGTTGAAGAGGAATGAAAAGATAGTAAGGAGTTCTAGGAAATTTGTAGGATTAAGGATGTTTTTCTATGAGGTTAATAAGATTAGACTCTGTGGCTTGTGAGGTTAAATGAGGCAATGACCGTTGGCGTTTATAGTGGATTTCATACATAAAAAGCTTGATTTGTTTCTATGCGGAGCATAAGTATATATATATATATATATATTAAAAGTAATCTTTTATAAAACGCTACAAAAATTAATATTTATATGGATAACTTTTGATTATATTGTTACAGTTTAACATTTAAAAGTGGTTCAAATCCAAACGCTATATACCGAACGGTATAAAAATACGCATTTAGTCAAATTCGATTAAAAATTACTTAAAATATTTGTGCATAACTTAATTTTAATCATATCGTCAGAATTGTCTTTTAAAGGAGAAAATATTTTTAAAGTTTTTCTCTATCTTATAAATATTACACTACTCGACTTTTCTTGTCCACACGGCAACATTTTCACTCCGTTCAACTCTCTCGTTCGAGATTACTTTTTTTTTTTCGTTTTTCTTTTTTTTAACGTTTTCGATTTGCTAATTACTCATTTCAGATTCTTGCCATCTGTGATTCATTGAGATTGACTTTCGAATTAATCCACAATTTCCTATTTCCCCTTTTCTTATCTTTCTTGGCCAATTATAGTAAGCCTATTTGCTTTTTATTATTCATTTTTTTTTGGAAATCTACAGGTGACCAAGTTAACTTTGCCATATGTATGTCTAAGACGTTTCCTTGCTTTCTTCGCCAAGTTACTGCAAATACAAGTGGGGTTATTGCTTTTTTCCAAAATAAGTGGATTTATGAATATTTTAAAATAATAAATATATATTTATTTAATGATTGTTTTATCTTGAGATAACGGGTAATTTTTGATTAAAATTAGCTTTGACTTTTTATAGATTTTAAAAAAAGTTAATTGATTTCTTAATTCTTATTAAAAATTTAAACAACTTTAGTATATTTTGAGAACGAACCTATATTTTTACGATAGATGGAGTATTGAGTAATTATTTTGACTCTGGGAAAAAAACAATTTAAAAAAAAAACAATAACAATAAAAAAAATAAATGAAGGCATAGTCTAGTATAAATTATATTACGACCTATAAATAAAAAATTGAAAAAAATATATAACCTAGAGAAAGAAATTATATATATATATATTATATAACTGTAGAGGGAAAATATTGAATTTTAAAAAAAAAAAAAAAAAAAAAAAAACCCCATTCAAATTT